AATCTATTCTATCAGTGTATAGCAGAATTTTTTGAAAATTTTTTTCGGAAAGTGAGAGGCGGACAAATTTTCGATCGTGATGATCCGAATCACTTAATTATTTTTGGGCTTGCTAATCAAAAAAGGAGGAATCAAAACGCCCAACCCTGTTAATAATATTTTCATAATCAGCATGCTCACTTACCTCCCCCCTCATGCCAATTTTCAGCCTAGTAGGTGAAACTTCTCAAAAATCGATAAAATCGATATCGATCAATGACGATAGGTAGCCTACAACAACCGCTCCGCCCCGAAGTGTATGTGTGCCAAGTTGATCCGGATCGGTTCAGAAATGGAAATTTCTATTCGGAACACACGTAGAGACAAATATATACACGTACATACATATAGACATATCTACAGGCACCATTCATTTACTCATAAAATGCATTTGCCCTCTACTTACCCCCCCTCCTCCCCCTCCCCCTCGGTTTTGACACTGCTGTCTATTTGCCAAGGCTTACTGCAACAGGAACAGCTTAATTTTTTTGGAGTTCTAAGAAATTCGATCGCAACATGTGCTTGGAACTGCCTGGAAATTGGATCTGGGAAAAATCTGATGTCATTTAGGGTTGTCCTGGTATGGGTTGGTATTCATTATTTTTGAGCAATTACTTAATCATTATTTTCTTCTTCCTCTTGGCTCGTTTTTTGCAGATTTTCACAGAATGCTCAGTTTACCATCGGCTTAGCGAATCGTCATAGAAAAACAAATTATATGTTATCTTTTTGAAATTAGCTCGCACAGACCGTGCTTTGCAAAAAGCTTCTATTCACCCGGAATTTTTTTTCACAAAGAAATAATGGAATTTTTTTTTGCATTTTTTGCATATTTCATGTAAAATTACCCCTGACAATAAATTTTCTGTTTACTTCAAAGGGACACAGAGGTTATTTTAGCAAAGTTCTATGTTTTTGAAAGTTCACGGTAAAGCCGCTAAGTACCTAACTTATTATCAAATCCATTAGCACTGCTCCGTTCCGAAAAGTTTTTGTTAGAGCTAATGCGCCATTTTTTACAATTTCATTTTTCTTGCTGTATATCTCATACATGGCAGCATTTTCCACTGAAAAGCTGCTTACATGAACTGATTATGTTTTGGGTCATATGGTATTGTGGCATAACCCCGTCATCGGAATTGCTGTAAACTTCATCATCACTGGTAATTAAGCATCAATTATTTTATGAATAAATTAGATTATGGTCTACTTGCGTCAGTTGTACTAAAAAATATGATAATGCATTTAAAAATTGGAAATTATTGATAGATTAATAACTCTTGAACTTAAATAGTACGAGCCAAATGCCCACAAACTGACTTGTTCTGGATTTTTGTACTCTGTACTTGCGAAATGTATTTGCGTTTATATCTACAACATCAACCTTATGGCTACTGTAAAGTGATTGCCATCAATTTTTTGTATCTCATAACTATATTTCGAAACGACCTTGACCTAACCCTACCCAGTGGGACTGAAACTTCATTTCTTCCGATAGACATGGTAACCTTGGCGCTCAAGCATGAAACTGGTCCCATTATGAGTTCCTTCAAGGTTTGAAAATCTGAAGTATTTCCGCTCCATTTCAGAATTCCATCATCTACTACGCATAAATTTCTTGCGCGGGAACTTATACCTAATACCTAACCTCATTTTTGTGGTAGGAAGACCATAAACTGCTTGTCATTACCTTCTTTGCAATTAAAAAAGTTCACTTAATATGTTTATATTTTTTCTCACTTTGACTAAATGTGTACAACTGTTATTGAGATTAATATGTATAGGTAAATTCTTGTCTGCAAGAAATTTATGTAACTTCTCTTGGAGTGGTAACATCTAAATGGAAAAAGAAACTGAGCAAAAAAATCTGAGGAAACGGGGGGGGGGGATGGATCATGACTTGCGGCTGTGAATTTCTCAAGGTAAGTGTGGCATCCAATCCCTTTCAAGAAATTTTTGAGAAGCCACTTTGAAAAACCCATGACTTATCCTAGCTACTCAGACAAATGAGCGGAACTTCCGCAGAGCGCTTGCGGAAGTTCCGCGGGGTCACCTGCGGAAGTTCCGTAAAAGTGGTGCGGAAGTTCCGAAATGAGGTCCTGTGGAAGTTCTGGCAGGCCAAAGTGCTGCGGAACCTCTGACATTTTCCGGAATTTCCGCAGGATTTTGAAGATTGCAACTAATTTGGCATGGGAATCCCGCGAAAGTTCCGATTTTCAATCTTTTCATTTTTGCAATAGTGAAGAAAATCCTGCGGAACTTCTGCAAATTTGGCTTGACCTCGGAACTTCCGGTGATTTGTCTGAGTATCCACAATGACAAATATGTACTTGCACATTTTATATTACTAATACTTAGGTGTGAGATAATAGCCCCTAAAACAATCCCATCTTTACTAATCAATCTCCTAAAGCAATTCCATCCTATTTGCCTTTGCGATCTCGTGGCTTTATAAGTTCTAATCTCATGATTGAGATTGTTCAAAGACCTAATAGTGTTATATAGACTTGAATGTCATGTTTACAACATTTTACTAAGTACTCCTATTATCTTTAAAAAAATGTCTCTCACCTGATTTTTTTATTTAACGAATACGGAAGCCTTTCATCAGCTTCGTTATTTACATACATTCAAGCGTTGGATACATACATGGTACGCAAAAGCGGGCGAAGGTTTTATATGTAATTCGAATACTTTCATGGAACACAGAATTGTAAATTAAACATAAACATTCTGCATCAATAAAATTGAAAAGAATGAAACCTATTGCTCTCTTCTACCAGGCGAGAAGCTAGAATTCATTTATTATGGAAGCACCAGTGATTTCTTGATTAAAAATGGGGTAGGAGGCTGCAAGAATTATTCACAAGGGACGTTTTTATTGCGGGAAAATTTTTTTGGACTGTCGATCAACCTTATCCTTCCGAAATTTTCTAAACCCCAAAAAATGACCAGTGAGGCAACGCTAGAGTTTTCAAGAATTTCAGAGATTTCCCAATCTCTTTGATCCGCCACTCTGCTCGTAAATCTTTCCACCAGGGGCCAACCCTCTCCTGGAAACAAATTGTGTCCAGATGTCGGCCCATAAATAGTTTTTTATGCGAAACACCGAATGTGAGCTTCAACGTCAAATGTCAACTGACGAATTGGAAGCAATTGAGTTAGTCACGGATGACCGACGACGGTTTCAAGCACAATTACACACCGACCGCCATTCTCCCCCGCTCTCGCCAAATAATAAAAATATGAAAACTTCTGGCCGAGCTCGTTCGGCTCGTGAATATTTTACAGCTATTCGTACCCATACTCACACCGAAAGCGCACAATAAATGCGGCTTTGCGCCAACTTTTATTGCCGCGCATTAACATTTGCGCCAGGTTGTCGTATGTGGTATTTACATAATCGCCTTACTATTGTTACCAGGGGGAGGGGTATCGTCAATGCGAGTACTCATAATCCACCCTCGGCATAGATATCACCTATATAGTGGTAAAGGGCAGTTCTATAGTCTCTTCTATTTGAACGCCCTCATTTAAGCGTGTGCTCCCATAGAGTCCACTCGCACGGACATCTACTACAAATCATGCACCTTCAACACATAGGGATTGTATTAGTTGACCGCTGAGAGTGAGCTCGTCAGCGAAGTAACGTCCCCTACTCGCAAAACCTTTCCGTAAAACAATAGATTCAAAACAGTAGATTTCATTTCTCGTTTGATCTATGTAGTTTGAACGGTCCTACAGTATCCCGAAGCTACAGTATCCCGCGAAAAGTTTTAGCGCCCTTCTTACTTCCTTTTAGCATTTTCAATACAAAACTCTTGCAGACTAGTTGAATTTATTGATTCTGCTTTTTACATCCACCTTTCTTCTTCATTTCAATCTTCACCTCTTTACTCTTCTTGAAATTCAATTTTTTCGTATAAACTTGACAAAGCGTGGCTGTTTGCGGTATAATTTGTTGTGAGTAATCACCTTAAAATCTCAAAATCTGTATAAATTGGATACTTCAATATATAGTGGACAAGGACTCACATAAATACATGCGAAGCTTATATGGATTTCGAGCTTAATTAGCAGAAAAAATGTGGTAATCAAAAAGTGGCAAACTCCGCCCCTATTGATCCCGAGCAACTCCCACCTACACATATATAAGCCACATACATGTAGGAGTACAACTAAAACTTTTCGCGTTCATAGTTGCACTAAAACCTGAGAATTAGCAATTTCAGCCTGAAAATGTCCGAAAATTTCTTGACCTAATACATAGTAATCTTCAAACTCCCAACACTTATCATTGGGTATTTCCTTGGAATTTCTTTAGTAGTAGAAAATTTTCAAATAAGTGTTACCTCTTTCCAGTCTAATTGTATTTCATATCGTCTTTGAAAAAGTTTTTTTTGCTTTTCCTATTCCTTTTCCCCAGTTGTTTTCCTCTCGGTTAAATACATTCAAAACCAATTTGGCTAAGATGAGGTATCCTTTTTGGCCTAAGGACATCTCTGACTAAAAAGATTATTGTTTTGAACATCAGGCACTTTTCCCCTTTCAAAAGAAAAATATCGCAGAATAAACTACGTGTATTGGGAATTATAATTGTCTTCTTTTGAGAAAAAAAAACTACTTTTTCCAAAATTGTAAAAGCAGTTAAAAGGAAGTCTTTATTTGTACAAGCAGAAGCAGAAAAAATAGAGGGTAAAATTAGCCACCTTCGTTTTGAAACTAAAGAATAAAATAGAAGAAGGAAATTTTTCTGAGAAAAGAGATAATACGGAATATGACAAAGGGCAAAAGATCACTGTTTTGTTTATTGGCTTTCCAAGGAATAACGTCGAACGACCAGATTGTTGTGTTTATACTTTTTTCATCAACTTATGCCCTTCGCACCTGGTCGCTTAAAAAGCTATCATATTGCATCAACGAATGAAAAACTACCATTTCTTCTTTGGCCATGCATACAGATGTTCTTAAACAATGGTAATAAATCTTATATAAATTGTCTGTGGCTGTGGTCTCGACCAATTGGCACAGTTATTCTTCAGGAAGCTCTCGGCGTCACTTCTTTGATCCACCGCATCTGCAAAGTTTAAGTTGTTTTTTGTAAAAGAAGTCATCAGAAATTATTTTATGGGGGCTTTACGGGAGCTATGAAACCGCTAACTCGTTAATTTTACTGGTACCTACGTCAGGGTTAATTTTTTTTCTGAAAAACAAGAGTGGTAAAGGTAGGTCATTTCTAGTCGGGCTTTTAGACAGTAGGTGCCTTATCTCCGAATCTATGATATCCAAATTCTAACCCAGTTACTCTTTTCATTTTTCAATTTCTCTCCCATCACGAGAAAAATTCGTGAACATCTTGCTATAACTCTTCCTTTCTCCTTCTTAAATTTCATGTTTTGCCCGTGTTATTATTCCGCAAAGTCGCCCCCAAATGCAAAAACTAATTCCAACCATCAAGGAACTTATTAAACCTATGTTCTTCTTTGTAATTAAAAGGATTTTCTAGCATTAATTTCTTTCCTATAATATTTTCAGAAATTTTCGGTAAAATTCGACGTGCTATACTTTTTTTTATTTCCAGTCTTTCGCCCTGTAATTATTATTATTATGAACTTCGCCCTACTAACATGCAAAAATCATTCTAACTTTCCAAGAACTTACTGGACACATTTCTTCTTTTTTTGCAAGAAAGGGACTTTCTACCATTACCTTCTAATTTCGAAATTTTTGAAATTAAAAAAAAACGCTTTTTTGTCCTCAAATTCCAATCCTAGCTCTGTAATTATTGTTATCTAAAATATTGGCCTTAATAACTTGCAATAGCTCGTTCAACCTTCGAAGAAGAACTTATTGGACACATGTTCTTCTTTTTGTTGGAAATGGATTTTCTAGCACGCAATGGCGATAAGTATAGCCAAGTTTGGAAGTGCGATTGCATGTGCCCGAATAATCCTAGCACTGACAATGCTACCATTACGCTCTTTCATACTTTTTGTTTACAGATTTAGTTGAAGAGGGGGGGGGGAGATTTTTAGTGTTTTGAATTTCTTGTAGTTTGGCAGTTCCACACTACATACAGGTTCGACTTTCCTTCCGACAACCCAATCATCCCCTGAATTTTTTTTGAAAAATTTTTAACATTCTCAGAAAAACGACGGGAAGTTTCCGCCTAACAAGAAATATTCACAAAACTTTCACAAGTTTTTGTTTACTATCACAGAAGTTTGGAAGTCGAAAACGGGGAATACCGCAGGAATTTGACCCACACTGTGTACTGAAAACTTCTGTAGCGCTTCTTACAGAGGGCTATGGGAGGTTTATTTCTTCGATGTCCAGCGGAACTTGCGGTCAAATTTCTGCGTTTCATCACTTTCACCTTGTGCTCGATTTTTTTGCCCAAACTCGTGACGTCATTGTACTCATGGCTCAAAACCATCACTTTCAATTGGATTTACAGGCTCTTCTACATTTCTTAGCAATGATTGTACGGCAACCGATAAAGCTACCATGAAATGGCGATTAGTGCAGATTCTCGCAGTACTGCGGGCTGCCGTGCCCGCTGTGGCTATGGCCCTAACGGTTCTAAACGATGACCATGTTGTTCATACTGCATTAGGTGCTATTCGGGGTGTACCAGAGGTAAGTCAAAGTACATTGTTTAGACATTTCTGAGCACCTGTACACTTTATGTAAAGACTACTTGCTCGAGTAATAGCTTATACGATTCATTCGTGGCCAAGAAATCAAATGGTAAATTCTCGCCCAGTACCGTATTCCTTCGATCATTCAGCGTGCTAGGGTACTGTAGTGGGCGAGAGTTTAAAGTCGGATTTATCGGCCGCGAGTGAATGAAATGAGCTGCAGATAGGGCAATGCCTTTATTATAACCTCACAATCTGTATTACTTATTAATGCAAGTGCTCAATGCTTACCCAGAAGTTACCTCAATCCTTACAGCAGTTCCAAGGTGAGCACGTTACCGCGTTTCTTGGAGTACCGTACGCTCGGCCACCAGTCGGTATTCGACGTTTTGCCAAGCCAGAGCCAATACAACCGTGGACAGGTGAGAGTTTTAGGGCTTTTGGGGATTTTTTACGTTGAGGGAGGGGGGGGGGTTCAAACAATTTCGTACTGTGGTTATGCGACGAAAGACGTGGTTTCGCTTGTTTGAACCAATATTGTCTGTAATCCACTTCTGCAGTAAGTCAAAATCTAATGACCAGTCTATTTCAGTAATCTGTTTATTTTTTACAGAGGACCAGTTGTCAGTGAATTTGCCTTTGAAAATCTGTTTAATTATGTCTTAGAAATATATAAAATCTAGCCTTCGTTACCTCAGGTATGCTCTACGAAATGTCTACATACCAAACCAACTTTTTGATCAGAGACATCAACAAAATTGACATTTATGCCTCTCAACAATTCCTACATCCAAACGAACTACGCTTGAAAACATCTAAAAATGAATATGGGCCCTAAAAAGTGATCAAATCTGATCATTTTGAATTTTGAACTCATTTCTCAAAACCTTGTTTAAAACCAGTTACACTCGAGCGTCTCGGATATTCATGTGTGTCGTCACACCGTCCATTTTGGCGTCCCCATCTTAGGTTTGCAATCGCAGAAACGCAAGAGATTAACAGATTGTTTTCGCTCACATCACTTGAGGAGAGGGCTTCCTAATCAAAAAAAAAACACAAAGAACTCTTCACTTGACTGAAAGGATGTCTGCTTCAAATCCAGGATGAGGACGCCAAATGCAAGGCAGGGCACAAGGTGGACAAATGTCGAACTGGAAATCGTTTTGGATGGAAAGCCAAAGAGAATATCGTGAATATACGTTTTATATATATATATACACTCTCTCAACAATTTGCTACGTGACTGAAGTGCAAAAACACGATCTTGCTCACGCTTCATTTTCAAAGTCCAAATTTTTTTCATTGAGTTGCGAGTGAATGTTTCGGTTACGGCGCACATATAACGATATGACTGAGAATTTGGAGTATAAAAGGGCATGGGCTAGGATGAACATAGTGCAGAGTATCGTGGGAAAATTGTGTGAGTGGAGGTTGTAGCATGCTTTTTTGTGCAAATCGCTCACTACCCAGTAATGAAATGGCTTCGCAATGCCAAATGGCGATATGGCACGAATTGGTGTGTGTACGCACAGTTGTACTAAGAAACAACGTATGAAATGTTATGAAAAACTTATGTGAATAAGGAGTGTGCACTTTTTTTTCTAAATTAGGTAGGCAGTTGCCTTAAAGGCAGCGTCCAAGCAAGTGTCTGGACACATGGGGATCTCACGCGGATAGTAATTTTGGGGCCCTAACTAAGCCACTGCCCAACCGGCAGCTCAGGTAGTGTCTAACGGCTGAGATGTTCCCCTCGAAACTGGATCCCGCGATCGTATTTCGCATGGATTCATGGAGCAAAGCGTGGATCCTGGCGCGAAACTGCCATGAATCCATGCGAATACGATTGCGGGGTCTAGTTTCAAGGGGAATATCTTAGCCGTTAGAGCAGTACATGCGCCGCCGCTTGGGCAGTGCCTTAGTTAGGGCCCCAAAAGTACTTTCCACGTAAAATCCCCATAGGTCCAGATCTGCCTGGACGCTGCCTTTAATGCCCAACTGAGGTAGGCAAAACTACTATTTCACTTAAGTTTTGTGAATTTTTCACGTAGATCTATTCTACATCTAAGGTTTGGTACATAGTAACATTTTGGTTCCAAAACTCCTCTTCTCCTTCTTGTTAGGATCCGGAGTAGCAACGATGTTCGTTTTTTTTGAGAAGAAAGCGCGCTCCAATCGAACAACCTACCCACATGTGGGATAGAGTGAGAAATCGTGAAAATCGATAGTGGCAAAGGCAAAGTCGTTTCACCAATGTTCATTTGCCACCTTCGTGCTGGATCACGGCCATAGGTGAACATTGTGAGCAATGACACACATGCTCGTACGAAATGACTCGACTGTAATAAAGCACATTCAACCCACGCACTAAGCGAACAATCCCTGTTCTTCTCTCTTTCGATTTCTCTCAAAGTGCATTGCAAAATTCTTATTCCTTGTATTTGCATACGCCAACGTCCATCTTCTCCTCATCTCTCATATGCGCCTAGCAAACAAAACTCCCACACAACCCGTATCAATCCCCCAAAAATCATTCTTTCCCAGTTTTAAAATACCGATGAGCTTGAATAGGGGTATAAAGCCTCATAGTAAGCGTGCAAAAGGAAAGCAAATAATTGAGTGCACCAAGTTGCCCTTCTCTTGGATGACGTGGATTGCGTGTGCAAACCGCTGAAATGAAAGATTTTCGACGCTTGAGTAGGTTTGAACATAGTAATCAAGAATGAGAAAAAATAGCAAGGATAGAGAAGAAACGAGTTTGAAGACATATTTCTCTGATAGGGTACAAAATGTTTGAAGGGTCTAGGCATGCGATGACATAGTGCACCTTCAGTGGACATTGTTTCGAAGTAGCTTTCCTGCGTTAACATTGATTAAACTTTTATTTGGCTTACAGTTTGGCCAGTTCGCCTTTTCGCCTTCCTAAAACTTGTGAGGAACAAATGAGATTTATCTTTCAAAATGTCTCATCAAACCTATGAATCAGACATGGAGTTGACATGCATTCTAGGATTAATAGTTCACCTTAAATGTTGCCGAGTGTGGTAGACCACTGATGGGGAATGTACCATTGACTAGGGAGGTAGGCTCCCGGGCTGAATTTGTAGGTCAAATGTCATGACTCTAGAAAAAGCGGGGCGAAATCATGCAAGAGAAATCAACAGGCTTCCGATTTTGAACGCCGCGATCTTTATTGTAGAATTATCAAAATATCAAGTTCTATACCGTGCTGCAGCTTCAGATAAGTACCCAGGGTTGATAGCTTTGATTTGCGCAAGCCATCCAGGGGCTCCCTGATTGTAGAGCAAAGTTGCTTTGCAGTTTCTGTGATGGAAGCATGTCCGCGCAACCTACATGTCATCAATCAGATAACGTTTGAGCGCATACGGCTTCCCTGCCCGTCCGTTCCCGAGGTTATGCAGTCTTGAAGACCCTATCTTATGCTCTTTTGCATAAAGCGATGTGGGCGGCAATTCTACAACTCGCAATGTCTTCTAAGGCCTAAACGCAAACACGCTCTCATCGCACTACTCAACGTCTCCGAAACGAATGAATACAGTATGTCACCTATCGCTTTGCGCTTCACTAAGCAGCGTCTGGCTGTAACATACCATAGCCCTCTTCTCAAACAGTCTTCAAGGGCAGGCGAACCCAGTGAACTTACTCTTTTTTGCAAGCGTCAGCGAAATTTTGGGGCCAAGATTTCAGCGAGCGGTACTTCCTTCACTGTCGTATGTCCTGCCAGCGGGCAGCAATAGAGAGTTCTCTGCTAGCCTCGTCAAATAATTTCTTTCAGCGAGCGCTATGAGATTCTTGTTATGCAGCTTCGGGCGTATGCTTAGCAAATGTAACACTGAGTATGGCAGAGGTGTCATCGATGGTTTAATTACCCTAGTTTGGGATACTTTCTTTCGCGGAGAATACCTGCGGACTGTGCGGTCTTCTACAAAGGACTGGGCCCCCAACAATCTTGCATATACTCGAGAAAAGTCCGTGAGAATGCGGCCACTACACGCAGCTTGTCTATAATATGAAAAAGCAGCGATTGTTATTTGAACGTTCGTCTAAAAAGTGGTATTTCCGATGCCGTGCTTATAGATCGCATGGCCGCTTACCCCCGTCAGTTCTCTGAGCTTACGTGTGGATCTTTGCTAGCTTGCATTACTTGGAGAGCTTTTTAAGGTGATGCAGTTTTGAAAGCGTTGTGGAAGTGGAGACTACTGGGCTTTTGCTTCTCCCTCAAAACGACATCCGGCATGTGAGGGGGGCCACCTCTGCAATTCCCTGCGCCGAGTCGCGCAGATGTAGCGAGTGCTTTAAACTACTCCATGTGTGTATCTAGTTTCTACGGCCTTAGAAATCTGAAGTTCGACCAAATAGAGTCACTATGTGTCTTTCTTTTCAAGTAATTTCTCAAGTTTTCTTACACAAATCAGCTCTCATGTCAGTTTCAACCTCAATTACCAGTGGCAATCATAACTGCGATTCCGAAATTATAGGAGCTTCAGTAATGTTCAATCTTATCTCTGTATACTTATTGTTGCCTACAAGACATGCTCTGAATTGGTATCTTTGTGAAGGACATAGGAGGTGCAATTGCCATCTTTTCCAAAGTCGAAAAAGACTTTGTTTTTGAAGCTTTCATGTGCTACCTCAAGTAAAGCCCTATCAAAAGGTGCAAGAGATATTCCTAAGTCTAGTAGACACCATGAGCAAAAGAGTGCAAGAGCAAAACATAGTTTATGGTTTCTGGAAAGTGTAGAGACCATAAACTATGTTGAGTCGAGTGTAGACCTAAACCAGTTCAAACTTGAGATGGTGAGCTATTCTACTTCTTCGCATGTGTACATGTTGCTTTTGACCACAGTTGTTTACATATCCACTCAATCCTTTTCCATTTTGACATCATTTGATGTGGTCCAAATAGGCAAACAGATTTTGAAGCTCAGAAACTGATCTATTCAAAAATTTACTGCTAAAAAATGTGAGTGCTGGTTTTCAGGCGAGTTAGAGGCTCGATCGCCCACCAAAGCTTGTTACCTGACCATCGACACAGCGTTTCCACAGTTTCCTGGCGCAGAGATGTGGAATCCACCAAATGTAGGTACTTCAGTTCAATCTAACAAAGCAAATCTGGATGACGATAGCTTAACAGTTGTTTCTTTTTCAGTCACTTATACCCTCACTTTCACCTCACTTGAAAAGCCTTGATTCTTTCTCGCTTTATTCGCAAGATTCAGCCTGCGGTTCAACGATAGAGCTGCTTTGTAATTATTTGGCACGGATATAAATGCTAGGGATGGCACTTGGAGCGAGAAAAATTAGAAGCACATTGAGGTTGTCGCTTATGGAGGGTTAAAATAGAATAAAACTCCAGGAAACCTAGTGATTACAAGAGAAAGAATAGGATACATGGGCCCAATTTCTTTTTCCTGCATTTAGAATGTGTATTCAAACCAACTGTATAACTTGCGATCGCCTCTTTGGCCCGTATGCACGTACATCCCCGCGGGGAGGGAAGGGGATCTGAGAGGGAAGCGTCATATTTTGCTACTCGGTATACCTTTCTTTTTCGCATGTTTTTGACAGAAGAAATGGAGTCTAGAGATTATCAACTTTTCGATAATCCCTGGCTCGCGAGCAGCGGTTCATCGAAAATTTCGATATCCTGAGATTTCCCTTATTTCTACTATAGACATGTTTAGCGGTACCATATTATATCCTCAGCACAAATTTAGAAGTTTTTCATCGAATTTGTAGGAAGATAAATGACTTTGAAAATGAGAGATGATGCCCTGGGGATCCCCAGGGGATCACACAAAGTTGTGAAAATCTAATCTTGTATGGCGATAACCTGGCATCCATTATGCGCAGGAATTAGGGTATGAGAACCTTCATATCACAGATAAAGAAAGATGACGAAAGATATACAGAGTAGCGAAATATGACGTTTCCCCTCTCAGATCCCCTCCCCTCTCCGCGGGGATGTACGTGCATACGGGCCTTTGTGAGGCATTAACATCCCCGCTGGGGAGGGGAACACACCTCACTCCATATTCCGAAACTGTGGACATCTGGGCCAGTGGTATTCCCCCCAAAGTCGTCACAACTCAAAGAAGACGTGGTCATGACCGTCCAAAATGAGTCACAACTTGGGCACGACGGGCTTTGGCCGCCCGCCGCAAAAAAGCTCCGCGATCACCCGTCACCAAACTCGCAATGACCGCAGTGAGCGGCGCTCGCAGCCACTGCGGTCATTGCAAGACATTATAGACATTGTTTCTGTTAGAAGTCTGGGCAAGGGAAAGGTGCATAAGATAGATAGATAGGCCCTCAAGCTAATATGTTGAGACTATCAAGCAGCTCCATTGAAGCCGATTCTCGCCTGTGAGTATAAATACAGCTATCACTTTGCGGTTGTAAACCTTAGACTTCGAATGTTTGGAACTACTGGAAATACCACCGTGGATAGCGCAGTACCTGCGTCGCGGCTGACAAGGGAGGGTCATTAAGTCGAAGTGGCCGATTGCCACAAACGACATGCTATCACTTAAATTTTGAGGCGCTGATTTCAGATCTGTTTTCTCTATCTGCAGCGTCCTTGTGAGAGAAGTTATGAACATTTTTGGAGCCAAAAAAATGAACGAATGGTTGGATAAGAACACTCGTTACAGCTTGCTTAGAGCCTAAATGGAGCAGCGGCGAACCTCGCGATACTTCATACAACAAACTCCTTCTGCTTAGTGTATCAGTACTTTCTACTTGTCCATTTTACGTCTAGGAAGGATGTAATGACTGAGTTTATTCCGGCCGTCTGTTTACCGTTTCGTCTCAAAAAAGCTCATAACTTCTCCTACAAAGGCGTTCGGCAGATAAGGAAAGCAAATTTAAAATTAGCGTTTCAAGCTCTCACTGATGATATGCAGTTTATGGTGATCGCCCACTTCAACTTCGTGATCTTTCCTTGTAAGCAGAAGGTCTGGAGCACAAGTGACAAGCGGCAAATCTTTTGCAAAGCGATATGAAAAAACACACGACCAGTTTTTTTAAGTGGTTACAAGAACTTATTTTTGGACGTAAATTGGCGTGCACACAGAATATTTGAGATACATCGAACAATATACAAAATTATAAGACTCACTAATTCGACCTGTACAGGTTTATGCTTCTTCATTAGCCACGGCACCAAATCGTTTCCTTATTCAAATGAAAGGAAAGCATGGTTTGCAGCTAGTGAAAAGCAAAAGAGCACACAAAAGTTAAGGTAAAAACTGCACAAATTGCAAAAATTGTAAGATTAAGGCATGCAGAAAGATAACTAGACCAAACTGGCTGCAAAGAGACTGTCGAAGCTAAAAACCGCTTAAGAGCAGCAAATTTGGCTGAAGAGGACGTGAAGATGCATGCTAATCAAAACTAACCACATTCAGGTTCCGAAGCAAAAAAAGGAGAAATAATAGCAGGAAATGGAACAAGATTAGCTGTGGCCTCGCGACTGTGCGCTATCAGCTGTTCATATTGATTGTATTTGGCGTGCAGTTCGATTCTTTGCGTGCATTTACGGACAGCGGGCGGCACTACCTCCCCGGACGTACTCGACCGCTAGTCATTTGTCGGCACCACCACATCTTTGCATCTCCAATAAAGACCCACTATTTCTCCACTGTCTGCATGACGGACACCGGTGCTGCCTTGTCGTGCCGGCGGCGTTGCCGCGGCGTTACGCCGGGCATATGCCTCGGTCACGTCCAGCGTCAAGCGTGGGGTGCGGCACGCCACACCTGAGGGTCGTATTGAGGAGTCAAAAGGGGAGGGGGTCGTAGTTGGGTAATCTGATAATAGTGATAACATGATATTCGCATCATATCCATAATTAGCATGTCAATTAACCCCTGTAGACAAAGTGTGAGCGAATTCTGAAGATTCAAGATACTAGGCTACCTAAATGAAATGGTCAAATTCCAACATGGTTAACTTTGTTTCAAACGTGAATTAGCTACCCTTTTTGCACTCAAGACAAAGCACTACTCCTTCTTTGTCCACCTCAGGAAACCCGCGAAACTCGCTTCAGAAGACCTGCAAACTGTGGAATTAGAAGCCAACCAAAATCTCGTTTTTCCCATTTTTCGCTTTTGATCGCTGTGCTTCCACCAAATATTACCCAGAGCTAAGAAGACGAATCAGGATCCAAACAGTTCTAAGGAATCTACAAGGTTTAGGCTATCGATTCATATAAATATTGTCCGCTAAAAATGTTTTTTTGATATAGTTAATGGGGTGCGGCACACCCCCTTAAAAGCTGCGGCTGCCGCAACTTTTAAGGGGATGTGCCGCACCCCCTTAACTTGCCTTCAAAATCCATAAAGCGCTCCATTGCTGGTATGAGTATTAAGCACATAGCTTCTTCTTGCTACATTGGAAATTTCGAGCCGAACGCCCCACCCATAAGAAAATTATGGCCCTTTCAATATGCCCATTCAGATCAAAATCAGTCGTCAAATTACGTGTGATTGTAAAGTGCAGTCACAGAAAATCGGGCGTGCAGCTCTCAGAAATCTGAAAACTCTCTAGAAAAAGATGGCGTCTTCTAGAATGTCACACTTTGAGGTCCAGAGGTTAAGAGGAGGAAGAAGGGGTCGTTTGAGGGCTTTCATGGGAGGGGGAGGGGTGTTCTCGAAAGACTTGTGCCTGACCTCTTTCTCAACTCTGGTAATGCTATCTTAGGTATATAGTTCAGGGGGGGGGGGGTCTTATTAAGATAGCAATCGTGGGGGGGGGTCGTAACCAGCGATCGTGTGCCACACCCCTTGCTTGACCCTGATCACGTCGCCTATCCCTTATCATGGGGCGGCAGCAAAAAGGCGTCTGCCGGGCATTTGCCGCGCTTCGAGCGAGTCGTCACGTCTAGCGTTTCAAAAATGAGGGGTGAAAAAATATCAAAAATGTTTGAAACCTTTTCTAAATTTTTCTTTTTATGTGCATCGTATAGATATGAATACAGAAAGCATGAAAATGGTTTTTTGAAATTTTTTGAAGACATTTTTTTCGTAAAAATTTCGATGGTTGCAAAGATGGCACACACTGAGATTTGAACCGCTCAGAAAAACGTACGCAGACATGTCTCGTTATCCTCCCCATGTTAGCTAAACGCTGCAGACTATGCTCTACCTGATTACCATATTATCCGGTCTATCGCTCATCACCTAAGAGAATGCCAACTCATTTACAAAAATGAGAAGAAACGGATTTTCAGCCACAAAGTGGGTGTTTTGCGCATGGATCGCGGTTGCGACGGTACCCTTGTATAGGCTTTTGACCCCGCCCATACGCATGAATATGAGATCTTTCCAAAGATTTTAAGATTTTTAAGAATTAAAATAAAGTGTATCAGGAACTATCCGACAACCTAATATAAACATAATGAAAATGAGCAAGAAGCCGCATTTTCAGCTTTTCTGTATAATCCTCTGATGAACCCGGCGGCCGACCGACCGCCTTCTCTCCAAAAGCATTTTTCTTTTTTCTAAACTAGTGTAAACTTCCAGATATAAACTGACTAATTAACTTAACAGTACTAATTGTAAGCATATTCCTGACGCCTTTTGATGTCTTCTGTTATTGATTTGAGCAACGAACAAGATTGTTTCATTTGCAGGGTATCAGTGAAGACTGCCTAAGCATGAATATTTGGGTTCCAGCAAAGCATGACGGATCCGTTCTGGTGTGGATCTACGGCGGCGGTAAGTCTGCGTTCGCTGATTACAGATAAAGTGCGAAAACGCAAAAATGTCTATTGCAAACCAAATTGTCCTTTGTAAACATCAACAAATTACTGAACGAATTTTCTGCACTTTTGATATGTTTGAATGATTAATCGTAGAGTTGATGAACACTTCTCTAGGCTTCTTCAGTGGCTCACCATCTCTGGACCTCTATGACGGGACCGCTATGGCAGCTTTGAAGCATACAATTGTTGTAAATATAAATTACCGGTAAGCAGGAAGTCAAAATAAAAGTCGTTTGCATTGTCATTAATCAAATGATGTAACGCGATTTGACTGTTCAAATTCATGAAGCACTAGTTGGCAAATCCGGCTCCGCTGGCCCTGTCGATAACATATTTGTAATCAGCATGCCCATTTACTCCCCCCCCCCCACCCCCCCCCCGTACCAATTCTAGCCCCGATTTCACTCTCCTCAAACTTTACAAAAAATCGATCGATTCGATATCGTTCGACAATAGAAAGTAGTCTACGATTCCTGCTCCGTCCGAAGGGTATTTGCGCAATATTTAGTCCAAATTGCTTCGGAAATAAAAATTTTCTCATCATACGTACAGACACAGACATGCAGACGGCAAACAGACATTCGGCTTTATATATAAGACTATTGATTTTTTGGAGAACACTTTGGAAGGGAAGCTGTAGCCAATAGAATGATTTGAAGTTTTACAGTTATCAGGACTTTACAAATAATTTTTCAATAGTCTTGACTTCTAATTTCTACCTTAAAAGTTCACACAAATCCGCATCATAGTTCGTGGTTGAGCAGTTGCCAAAAGGCTTAGCGAAAATTTTTACTCCTTAAGCTTACAATCTTCAATCTATCCTAAAAACAATAAGAAAATAATCATAAGGAGCTATCTATAAACAAGAAAATTTTTTCAAAGCTGTGCTAAAAACCTTTTCCAAAATGCTCAGCAAGAAAAAACGCTGTAGCTAGAGACACGCATATTTGTTTTTTCGATAAAGTTACCGCTGTCTTTGAAAGTGAAATACATCCTTAGCCTTCTTTATCGAGGAAAAACTACATTTTTTACAGACCACCATCAAAGACAGCGTCCGGGCAAAATTTTGAACAAACTTTTTTCGCTTACCTGAGCGTATTCTTTCCGCTAATTCCAAAAATGCAGCTTGCAGCGTAGGAAAATGTCGAAAACGGCTGTTTCAGAAGCTGTTGGTTTCCAATATGGAAGCTTGCCGCCGAGGTCAAGACCCAGAGTCTCGGTGGGACCCTACGTCTTGACTGTGTGCGACATACAGACTCTAGCTATCGATTGAAGGGGCAAGCCGGTCGCTGGGGCGTCCCGGTCGCCACTTCTAAAGCGGTTTTCTTGCTTCAGAAGCGAAATGGTGCAATGCCACTTGTGCAAAAGCTTTATCAGCGCGGGAGCCCCTTACGCTAAATTTTCATATCTGCCTGGACGCTGTCTTTAACAAAAAATGCGCATTCACAGTCAATACCACTCAATGCCACTTCCGTGAATGTTGCGGAATCACGCGAATCACGAAAACTACGTAATGCCTAACTTTCTTCGGAATGGATATATTCTGAGGCCGAATAAAGCATTGCGCTCAGCTCATTGAGGCCAATTCTCTGGCAAACAGCATGTCCTCAATCTTTTCGCAAGGATGTAACGCAGCGCACATCACTCATGAAAGATTTCAGTAAGCACTTTTCGCTAGTGCTCTTTTCGTATATTATCGAGAGCTAGAAAGCGCCGAAAACTTCTTTTCAAAAGAGAAAGAAGAGTCCGTGAATTCTGAAAAAATCATGCTGTCTCAAATTCTACTCACCATAAGCCTCAAGATATGAAGCTCTCCTGCAGAGCAGATGTAATTTTTGTAATTAGCAGATGAGATAGCCTCTACGAGCAAGTTCCGAAAAGTTCGGATTATTTGACTCTCGTTTCACTTCTAATGCTCTCCTACTAACAGGTTTGGCACAATATCATTTACAAAGTCTTCGACTAGTTTTAACTAGTGGATTGTAAAAAACTTTGTTCAACTTTCGAGAATGAGCTGTAGTTAAAGCACAAAAGTTCGCATTGCCTGCATTTTTCGCTTAACTGTTAAAAAATTTGTCTGGTTGCCTTTAGAGGTTGCACTAGTAACCGTGCTAATTGAGTGACGCATGCTCCAGGCTCTAGAGATAGTCGCTGAGTTACTAGATTACGAAATCACATTCTCATTTGCCCAAAATGTAGATTGCATAGATCCATTGAGTTGTTGAATAACGAAAACTGCAATTATTATGTTCATTTTCGCTCAAGGAGTCCACTGTATTGCATACGGTTGTTAAATATTAGATCGTTCCATAAGTTCGTAGCGTTTTCATTTTCGTGCTCATATCTTTAAGAGCAGTTGTTTTGCGGCAAGATGCGTATATAATTTGAAAAGGCTGTGTGCTCTTCAAAATGCGCTCACTGATTTCGGTGGAAAGCTGATTTCTCGGATCTCGCAGTTCCCAAAAATGGAAATCTTGAAAGCCAAAAAGGAGCAATTTTGGCATTTGCGCATTTTTCCTTATGAAAAAAAGCGTTTTTGCACAGATTTCTGTGTCGGTTATAGAACTTGGGGCTCGCACATCAGTACGAGGAAAAAAAGGATTGGATTGCTACAAAAGATCAGGAGATGAGCAGGACTTTTCGGGGGACGAGCAGGACGTCCTGCCCTGAAAGTACTGTACAGATAGGCGATGCTCAACCATACCGTAAGCAATCTAACTGCACCTTCTAAACCAGGTCCTACCGCAGGAAAAGCCTAACAGGCAGATCCGGTGATTCTTTTCGCATGATGAAACATGGCCTCATACGGCAAACGTTGTCAAAACTGTCCCGATTTGACTGGAAGTTACTTCAATGCCCAAAGTACTCTACAAATCTCGCTTTATCAAATTAATTGCTTGCTCTTTGGCAAACCTCATGAATGAGGTGTCTCGATTTTAGTAAGTAGTTCGAGCGCTGTTTAGATGACTTTCTTGGGATCCGGTGCGCTGCCGCTTGAAAAATTGAGGTTGAGAAGCTAACAAGAATGTGCCAAAAGGTCGTGCGCTACAACAAGGAATATAATTTTGATTGATTTTTACTGTAAATTGATGATTTTGTTGGTTTATAAAAACGCTACGAACTTATGGAACGACCTAGCAGATTCAAACTACAGAAAACCGCTTTGATATATAATTGATATCCGAAGCATACACATCTACGGTATCTAATATGGTTAATTCTCTTATGAGATTTGTAAACAGCATGTCATGCGACCTAAGCATTCTTCGGGTTTTAGGTAATATTTTGAAGATGTAATTTCGTAAGCCCGTAACTCGTCGACTACTATAGACCTGTGCCTGAAGTTGCATCCTTTTATAGCGAGGTTCCCAGTAACTAAAATTCATAAATGTAAACAGGCAAGTTCTCTGGCAGATATGTGAAAAGTGCAGGGGAATTTGTGAACTTTCGCGGCTTAACTACGGCTCCCTCATCATATCCCTGCTGAAAGGCCCTGTACTCCACAAAAACAACGATTCTCGTAAACAGTTTGTCCGAAACCTCTCGTGCGAAGTTTCTTTACAATCGAGTCATCAATACTTCAGCCAAAATCCGTCGGCGAGCTTCAGAGCGTAAAACGGAAATCAAATAACCCGAACTTCTCGGTAAACTTGCTTGTAGAGGTTATCTAATTTGCTGATTAAGAAAATTACCAAAAATCGCACCAGGATAGCTTCAGCTTTCAGGATTATGGTGAGTAGAATTTGGAACTACATTTTTTTCCAACTCACCTGTTTTCTGTCTTTTTTGAAAAGAAGTCACCGGCTGCTTTCTACCGCCCGATAATATACGGAAAGAGGCTAGCGTGCTTACTGAAAACTTCATGTATGACTAGCTGGCATACCTGGCTCCGCCGTATGTTCCGAATAGAAAATTCCATTTCTTAACCTATCCGAATCAAACTTGGCACACATACACTTCGGGCCTCGGCGGGTGTCACAGTCCACTTTTCGTTATCGATTGATGTCGATTTTATCGATTTTTTGCAAAATTTGAGCTAGGGGGCTGGGATTTGGCACAGGTGGGTAATCGAGCATGCTGATTCCTAATACAATATTAGTTTTCGAAACCGTGCATTACTTTTATCGATTTTATCGATTTTTTGCAAAATTTGAGCTAGGGGGCTGGAATTTGGCAGAGGGGTGTTATCGAGCATGCTGATCAGATTACCCCCTGTGCCAACTCCCAGCCCCGTAGCTCAAATTTTGCAAAAAATCGATAAAATCGACATCAATCGATAACGAAAAGTGGACTGTGACACCCGCCGAGGCCCGAAGTGTATGTGTGCCAAGTTTGATTCGGATAGGTTAAGAAATGGAATTTTCTATTCGGAACATACGTACAGACAGACATACAGACAGACAGACAGACAGACAAACAGACATTCATCTTTATATATAAGATGTGCGCTGCGTTACATCTTTATGAAAAGATGTCCTCAGAAATTTGGAAAAACTAGAAACGGAATATCAAGGACATGGTGTTTAGAAAATATTCGCCTTGATGAGCTGAGCACAATGCTTGAAAATTTTTGCACGTTTTGTGAGCGGATTGTGTAACAAAGTACATATAAACCGTGATCAGACACGAAATATAGTATTATAGGCTGGGCCCTTTTGGATTCCTCTACCTCGGTGATGATTCACCTGTGCCGGGAAACATGGGACTATTAGATCAACAAGCTGCCCTGAAATGGTTGCACGACAACATTGGTAAGTTAAGCATCATGCAGATTAGCACTCACTCTACTGTATAATTTGAGGCTCATTCGGTGGTGATCCTTCGAAGGTGACATTGTTTGGTGAATCAGCCGGATCAGCCTCGGCAACGGCTCATCTTGCTGCTCCAGATAGCTATCCATATTTCAACAAGATCATTGCTAGTGTTCGTCAATTACATAGTCAAATTAATCGATGTAAAGTATTATCATTTCAGAGCGGTACTATAATGAACTCATGGGCTAGCAGGACTCCCGATACAATGTACGAGCTGTCTCTTAGGCTTGCTAAGCGCCTCAACTGCACCTTCAAAGGAGTGGATGCAGCAGCCATACATAACTGTATGCGTGCACTACCCGCAAGTGTGATACAGGTAATTCTTACCATCCGAATTGTTCTGTCTCTCACAGCTTCGTGAAAACGTTCACATCATGGAACGGCCGCGAAAGCTCTTCATAAAAGGTGTTTCAAAAGGATGTGCCCACTGTTTGATTGTTTATAACACTCTAGTAATGAAGTCTTTCGAGAAGCTTCAAGCACCCTTTTTAGAGCTGCTCAGACAATCACAGGCTCTCAGCCGGCAGCCACAAAGCCACCGCGAAAACCCACCAAAAGAGCGGTGGCCTCATCGCCTCACTTTCGCTTCCCGCTGAGAACTGGCAGCGAGCGGGCTGCTATAAAGCCTTCAGCGCGAACCGAAAAGCCTTCAGCGCGAAGCGAAAGCGGCGTTTTCGCTTGGCGCTGAAGGCTTTATAGCAGTCCGCTCGCTGCCAGTTCTCAGCGGGAAGCGACGGTGAGGCGATGAGGCCACCGCGCTTTTGGTGGATTTTCGCGGTGGCTTTGTGGCCGCCGGCTGAGAGCCTGTGATTGTCTGAGTGGTATCAACATAGATCTAAGTATAGAGCGATCATTGATCGCTCTTCATTAATGTAGGATTACGGTAGAAACTTCAAGCATATGGTGTCACGTGCAAAACGCTGTCGTTTCAAAACCTTTCAAAAAATGTGAAAACTTGTGCAATAAAGTTTTCACAGACGCTGAGTTCAGTACTCAAATATACAAGATTGCGAAACTTTCTAGAAGGGTAACCGCGCTTTATACGAACATTGACAAAACGGCCGCAACTGCTTACCTCGCATAACTTTTTGATGAAGCATTGTGATAAATTGCAAACTTCACATTTGAAATCAGCAACTCTAATTAGCCCAGGGTGAGAGTTTTTAGGTTTTTTTGTTTACTTTTTGAGACATTTTTGAGAAATATGTCCTTTCATGGCTCAAAATTCTCTTCAAAGTTCCTGCTGTAATCCAACAGTAATGGAGAGCAGGCGGTAATTGCTCTATACACTAAATCCAAGTTGGAGCTAGTTCTATAAAATGGTACTTAAAGCTTCTTGAAAGACTTTATAATAAGATGTTATGAAAGGATAAAGGATTCGGCGTCTTTAATACCCTCTGTGGGCATGCGCCGAACGCACGACTACTTCGTAGTCGAAGAGGCAATTGTATGCGTGCGAGCCTAATACAGTGAGTAGTGAATACAGTGACAGTGATAAGATGATATAGTTATTAACAATCAAACAGTATGCACTTTCGAGACACCCTGTACAAGAATTTTTGGAAACCAGACGCTCGTATATTTTTAGACACCCGATATTATGAAATATGTAGCCACAGTATAATTATAGACGAGTGTAAATTGAAAGCTTTTCATCTTACATTTATTACAGATAGAAGCCGATATAGTATCCAGTGACATTGGTCTCCCAATGACCTTTGCCTTTGTACCCGTTAGTGCTGATAGGAATTTCTTCAAAGTAAGGCTTTGACTCTTTGAAATCTTGTCGCTCTAAAGGCCTTGATTCTCAATCTTACCCTCTTTGCAGGGCGATGTTTTCGAAAGACTTAGAAGTAGAAATTTCAAGAAAGACGTTTCCGCTATTTTTGGAACAGTAAAGGACGAAGGAACGTACTGGCTACCTTACTATATGAGTCAACATGGTTTTTGGTTCAATCACACGATCTCAGCCGAAGACCCTCAAAACAAGGCTCTTATTAGCAGGTTAACTCTGTGAATTTCTTTCAAACTGACCTCTAAATTTTCATCCAGGTCTCAATATCGGCAAGCGATGAAAGCTTTCATGCCATACTTTGGTGGATCGCCTTTGGTTGAGAATGCACTTTTGCATGCTTATCAGTACGTTTCCGAACGACAAACAACATCGTGAGTTGTTTAAATTGATCTCAGTCGTAAGGGCACAAATAGAATGCTTAAACTTGCTGCTAATTTTCAAGCGAACAGCTTCGAGACGGAGTTGGGCGATTTCTTGGCGACTATTTCTTTACCTGTAGTCTGATCGAATTTGCCGACATAATCGCAGACAACGTCTATGGGCCTGTGTATATGTACTATTTTACAATGAGGTAAAAGATCTTTTTTGTGTTGGTATTACTTTATGATAATTGATGATGATTATTTTTGATAATTTTTGACAATTTGTGATTATTTTCAAGGTCTACGGCCAATCCTTGGCCAAAATGGATGGGTGTAATGCATGGCTACGAAATCGAATACGTCTTTGGGCAGCCACTGTCGAGACCATCACTTTACGACAAAGTGACATTACTTCGATACCACAATACTACACTATCTGCTATCTGCTGTTGTTTTTTCAGAATTATCTCGAAACGGAGCAGCGCTTCGCTAGTTATATGCAGAAATTATGGGCCGATTTTTTGACTACTGGGTTGGGCAACATCGCAAAGAGATTTGAAGCAAACTAATTTTAACTACATGTTTTTGCAGAGCGCCAGCCCCATACTGGCCAAAATACAACAGGATAGAGCGAAAAGCATTGGTACTTGGAGAGGAATCCGTAAAGGGTAATCATCGCATACTGGTCGACGTCCATGGTTCCTACTGTAGACTTATTGACGAAGGAAAAACTGTTGCTGGTCAGGGTGAGTTTCCTTTTACATCCATATGAGAAACGAATCTGCCTTGTGGTTGAGGTAGTGCTAGAATTTTTGCATAGCCACAGAACAATTATATGGCTACTTCAAGGGAAAGATGGTTGATGAACGCAGCTTCTTGAAGCATGCTATAAATCAGAGTTAGTCATCGCCTTGAAAAGCTGATTTCGACATGTGTCCGTCTCTGCGCATTTTGAGAAGATTTAGTACTAAAGCGAATGCAAAAAATGCTCGACCAACATAGCATTAGATGGCATTTATTGTGCGATAATCAGCAGCGCTACCGGTAGGCCATTCGACATCTTTAGCGCCTATCGACATTACTTTACTCTTAGGCAAATACATTGGATGCGAGAAGTTACAGTTTTTTCTTTGAAGAATCGTTCCGCAAATAACAACACAGTTTTGAGATTGACGTTTCCAGGCGAAAGTCATGACTTATGTTTCGAAAGTCATGACTTATGACTTACGTATCAAAAAGCCACGGTCTCCAAGTATTACTTTTCCGTTAATCGTAATTAACTTATACAAAGTATGACATCATTTTCCTGAAGGCATGAAATTTTTGCATCAAGATTCTCAAAGCTTCCTACCTTCTTTGTAGTATCTGAATGTCGAGCTAGACGAACCCAGCCAGCCGCGATTGGTCACTCGCGAGGAATGGACGTTTTGAACAGCTCGAAGTCCACCATCTCAGCTCTCATCGTCATTCTCGCTGCCATTCGACTCCTCGTCCTCAGCTGATACGTACAACACTTGTGATGAACTTTGTTTAGAGTCAGCTAGTCGTCTATTTTGAGCGTGCCTTTGTTAGTTTTGTTGAGATTGTACTATTTCGTTTTGTTTGTTTCAAATTCACTTTGCGTAGGGCTGTAAATAAGATCTCTCACAAACATGTTCTATTCTAGCCGGATACCTTTCACTTCCACCGCCTTTGCGTGTATTGTACATGTAATGACACAGTCCGTTATTCTAAACCTTTTATTTTTACATTCAGTCTGAAGAATGGTACAACCAAAATCTGTAGAAAATTAGTTGTGTCATTTATCTTGTTGTGAAAGTTGGCATTGACTGGGTATTGAAGTCATTCTTATAAATATGTTATACTATCTCTTGTATGCGCTATGCGCTGCATTTAGCATCAGAATGTTTTGCTGGAAGTATAGAACAAACATTTTTAATTTTTGCTAGATTTTACTACTTCCACTAGGCAACTACTATACCACAGGGAGCGTTATAAGACCTAGAAGTAAACTGTGGAGAAAGGCTCAGCACTGACCTCAAATTTTGAGGAGATAAGAAAAAAAAGGACATCAGGCTAAGCTCAAGAACTATGGATTTAAAAACTCAGTCAACTTCGATGTTTATTTGACGCTTGTTGTTGTAAACTTTGGAATTTTCTTTGTGATATGTTTTAAAAAAGTTTAACAATTTTTTATCTCATATGTCCCTGAAAGATCATCTTGATTAATTTCACGAGTACAAGCCGCACCTTTTTTCTCTAAACTCGACACGCCGAGCACAACAAAAAATTTCGAGGTCACTCTCGTGACTGACACAGGTTACTGCTACGGGGCACAAATCTAAACATGAATGATGAGATAGATAGATGTGGTAGCTTTCTGTAGTCGTTATATCGCAATATTATGCAATTTGAGAAAAAGCAGTATTTGCAAAAATGGTCAAGGTATAACTTGCTACCATTTAGGTACTGTCAAGACAAAATGGCAAGAAAGTAGAACGTAGCTTGTAGTCAACGAGAAGTAGTTTGCATAGTTCGTTAAATAAAAAAATAGGAAAAAATTGTAGCCTTGTTTCATTTGTTTGTTTCATTGTCATTTGTGATGTGTGAAAGCAATGTCTATTCGAGGTTGATTCTCTATTTGTGTTTGCAGTGCGTAACTCTAAACCCTTTCATATTAATCATTTATCAATAGTTGTTTGTGTATATGCATATACAGGCAAATGAAAAGAACAGACATAACGAACGCTAGTAGTGTATGAGATCGACACGTCTTGCAAGTTTGTCCATAGCTGGTCTCTTTGAATGGGTGCACTCAAATTTGGTTTAGATCAAGAAGGTACAGGACTTATTGTCGGGTGCATCAGCATCTCTACTCCCGCGCGGGACTCTGCCCCTCTTCCGCGAACATGCTCTCTAATCACATCCAATCGATTGAGGCTTCGCTTTTCTCACGCTCGCGGTGGGAAAGTGATCAGAGAGCATGTTCGCGAAAGAGGTGCAGAGGCCAGGCAAAGCGGCCGCGCGGGAGCAGAGATGTTGGTGCAGCAGACACTGCAGGATAAGCCCTGTACATACCTGTTCAAAGTGTTTGATATTTGGTGATATAATTAGAAAAAAACTAGGCATTTTCCTAAGGGAAGTCCACTTTGAGATTTTACGGTCTTAGCAAAGGTGAACCCGTAACAAAAAGTAGCGGAGCAGAAACTAGGCAAAATTTCAGAGTTTAGCTACAGGAGCCTGCATGATTGCGAAAGGCCCTTGCGCCGCGCACGTTCGATGTCACTGAGGCAGGTGCCAGACTTATCCTGTTCAACCGGTCGTCCGGTTCACTCATTCGCTGTTAGTCAAATCAATGCACTGACCAATACCAGAGGGGTGAACCTGATAAATCTGTTGAACGGGGTAAGTCTGGCACCTACCTGAGTCGTGGGATTAACATCGGACGTGAGTGGCGCAATGGTTGTACGCGCGTCCGACTCTTGCGATCATGCAGGCCCCTATAGAAGGTTTATTGGAAAAGCAATTTGGTGCAAATCAAAATTCTTGAGAAGCCAAACGCGTCAGCGCCTCCTCGGAAGTCCTTAAATGTCAAAGAGTCGTCGTCACATTTTGGTAAAACTATGCATACAGGTAATTAAACACTCTGTACACGAATATCATGCTGTAGATCCTCCTCCTTTGAATTTGGACATCTTCTTGATTATGTACAATTTCACTTTTATTGTGCCGTGTGTCAGACATTGAAAAATTTTATTTATACCAGCTGTACGGCACAATAAAACTGGAATTGTACACGAATATCATATTTAGTTGTTGTCAGGATGAAAAATTGGTTGCTGTAGACGGGCTACAGGCATAAAAGGGGACGCCGCCGTAGAGTTCGACTCCCGCTGCACAAATATCACTCAAGACTGAGTGATTAGATAGTTATATAGAAGTAGTAGAAAAAAAAGAAGAATATAGAAAAAGTAGAAGTATATAGAAGTAGTAGGAAAAGTAGCCTATAGATGTTCCATAGGCTGTTTTTAGTTTGAACATTCATTAATGTTTTGTGATTCAAGTTTTTTCGTAACCAAATAAGCCTGCCACGCAACGTGATTCATTTTATCTCATTCAATTTTAGGCTTCGGACAGAGTTCACGCAATTTGATCGTCGCGATTCAATCGCTACAAGACAACTGTTACAAATTCATGGCATGCCGATCAGCTTGCATTTCGGTTGTGATACTTTTTTTCCAGCCCGAAACTTTTGAATGTGAAATGAATGGAAATCACGGCGATTGAATCAAGACGATCAAATCGCGTGAACTCTGTCCGAGACCTAACCTGGAATACTGAGAATTAGTGTTAGAACGTGACTTTCATTTAAGCGGTATTAGCAAGTAAAGTTCATTCCGCATCTCCATTTCAATGAACATAACGCTCATAACAACAGCGTACTGGGTGTTCACATGCGTAAGGAAGAATCGAAGTCGGTATCCTACGTGTTTCGTACCAGCCCAGGCTACAGGTACGTAACCTATTTTTAATGTCAGATTACCTGCAAATCGCGGTGATTACACTTAGAACCTAGTTTACGTTATTCGACCACCTCAGCCTCCTCTTTTTGGTCATCGACCACTTCAGCCATCTCTTTTTGGTCATCTAAATCGGCAAGCTTCTCGCATGGTAAGACAAGCGGTCATTTCTATTTTTAGTGTGCACAAAATAGTGTAAGAGCGAATTTGTCGAGGAATGCTAATTTTAGGACCTAGTACACGTTATTCGACCACAACAGCCTCCTCTTTTTGGTCATCGACCAACTCAGCCACCTCTTTCTGGTCACCTATATTGGCAAGCTTCTCGCACGGTAAGAAACAGCGATTGTTTGTATCTGTAAGTGTGCACAAAATAGTGTAGGAGCGACGGAAAAATGAAGCTGATTTTAGGGCCTAGTTCACGTTATTCGACCACCACAGCCTCCTCTTTTGGGTCATCGACCACCTCAGCCACCTCTTTTTGGTCATCTACATTGGCAAGCTTCTCGCACGGTAGGAAACAGCGATCGTTTGTATTTGTATTGCACAAAACAGTGGTAGGAGCAATTGTCGAGGAATGATCTAATTATAGGAGCCATCAACAAAATTGCTTCTAAATCGCGTTTACATATGTTTTACTTTTTCATGAGTCTGTCTTAAATTGTTGTACCAGTATGAGGTACTACTTTAGTGAGATAAGATTAATTATTGATGAAGGTACGGGTATGTTTTTCTTTGAGTTGTTATCTAAGGCTAGCCTACGAAGACTGCCCGAGTACATTTATTCTTGAGCTCATTTCTATTCATCTCTAATGAGTTTGTGGCTCATCCAGTATGTCGGTGGCGCGGGGGTTGCCTAGTTTTGTTGAGCTAGCATACCTATTTTCATTTTCATTGTCTACGTCATACTCCTGGAAACTAGGTCGCTTGCTGTCGAGCGAGGGTGGCATGCCCGAACTCATGTGAACAATTCTTATGGCAGCTTCTAATAGCTAAACCTTAATGCCTTTTTCTATTATATTGGACCTAGATCGACGAATGTCCCTATTTGATAAAATATGCAGTAGTACCTTTTCCGTTGTTTGAGTTCTAAATAAGAAATAAAATAAATCTAACACCTGGTTTTTTTCTCTCATCTGCTTACTAATTTGCTGTTGTAGCGCGCCTTTGGCGTAAAAAAGTAAATAAATAAATAAATAAATGTAACCTATCTGCAATGTCTGAGCTGTTTTACGTTCCTCATTAAAGAAATATTCCGACCACCTCGACCTTTTCGTTTTTGGGCATCTACATTGTTAATCTCGCAAGGCAAGCCCAAGCCCCTTGCTAACGCAAATGGTAGGCAACAAAGAAAAAGAAACTTGCTCTCAGCACAGAAAACAAGGCGTGTTTTCTGAGAAAGCAGGGCCTAACTTATGATACCTTTTGGGGAGTACGAGTTTGATGCGAAATGAATACATGCTTCTTAAGCTGTGACGCTATCTTATATATAAAGCTGAATATCTGTTTGTATGTCTGTATGTCTGTCTGTCTGTCTGTATGTACGTATGTTCCGAATAGAAAATTGCATTTCTAAACCGATCTGGACCAAACTTGGCACACATACACTTCGGGTCCCGGCGGGTGTCATAGGCTACTTTTCGTCATCGATCGATGTCGATTTTATCGATTTTTTGCAAAATTTGAGCTACGGGGCTGGGAGTTGGCACAGGGGGGTAATCGAGCATGCTGATTACAAATATGTTATTGACAGGGCCGGGCGGAGCCGGGTTTGCCAACTAGTAGTACATAAAATAAGAGATATTTGAGAGAAAGAGAAGCACAATCTCCACTAGATGGCGCTGAATTCATATGAAGATTGGTTGTAAAGTTATTAACCAAAATTAAAGATCGAATATTTAAAAACAGGACTGCTTCAAAGATATCAATGTCCCATTCCAACGAGAGTGTATGTCATCGGACTTGCCTAGAAACGCTGTTCTCAAACTTACGTCTATTATCTGCCAAATGAGTATCAGGGAAGTGTTATATTGAATGTGCGACATATTCTGAAGCGCATGTTCTACAAAATATGTTTCAAAATAAATAGTTGTGTATTTGGTGAATATGCTTCTCCCAACAAACTATATTCGTTGAAAGGCAACCTCAGATAATCATATTTGAACTCTCATAACTCCTTCCAGGTAGTCATTTGGCAGATGATAGACACATATCTAAAGTTGGTGTCTCAAGGCGAATCGGATGATATCTAGCTTGTATGAGATGGCTGGGAGGGATAACTTCCAACCATTCCCTCTTAATTAAGGTTGTGGGATGCCAATACTGGAAAGACAGCAAATTCAGTAGATGCAATTGGGGCGATCAAGCATGAGAATGATTGGAGGCTCGATCACCTTAATTGACAACCTTTGCTGAGTCCAAATTCAGATGAAAGTTTGACCATCTTCATTGTAATGGCGGTTACTACAACTCCAGTGAGATTCGGTAAACTCGTCATATCATTTGAGGACTCAATTTGCGCCAATAAACAACACAGAAATATAGATACAAGTCGAGGCAGTCACACATCACAATTAGGTTGGAACATGCTACTTATTTAGGCTAAGAATGCTAAAAAAGCTTCAAAAGTGGCTAAGACAAAAAGAACCAAACCGGACCGTCGAACTACATAATCGTTCACGCAACGTAACGATTATATCTATTTTACAAATTTGTGGCACTTTGCAATCAAGCATTAACATCCACAGATTTGTATAAGCAATGATATTATAGTAAAGCTAAAATCATTTCACAGTGAGGAGGATGCGGTACTGTAAGTGACGTTGCTTTGAGAGCACTTCCAGTTGCGTGTACTATGTACCGTGTAGTATACGAATATGGATTGACGGGGATGAGGGGATGAGGAGAGAGTGCAGAAACGCAGATGGAAGCGGGATGAGAGATAGAAAGACGCAGGCAATTGAAATAACACAAAACATCACAAACTCCTTCAGGCACTCTCCCCTTCCATTCTACAGAGCTTTGGTTGAAGACACAAGTACGGCCGCTGTTGGCAGCTGGTAATTAAATGCAATTTTTTGACCTGAGATATGTTCAACGAGCGCTTTTTACGTCGGAAGTCTAAACCATAACATTGCTTACATTGATTCTCTTACTTTCTTGTGTCCTTCTGGATTTTTCCCAGCTAGACTGAATATTAGGTTCCAGTTGACATCTCGGACAAGGAGATCAAGAAGTTGTCAAAAGAAATGAGAGCAACAGACGACAACAAGGCGCTGAGCGGACAAGTCATCATCAATCTTCAAAATAAATACAACAGGAAGAGTGGGACTGGGGTGTTTGTACAATCTGTTTCATTCGGATCAGGCCAAAATTGACCTAACTCGCATCCGCAACCTCTGTTTTGCAACAAATGCTGTAGATAATATCGTCTTAGGACTGCCCCTGTGCTCTTCTCACATTCTTCGGTATCTCTAACAACCCACATATGTAGCGCAAAAACCTAGCGTTGCCGAAATAGAGCTAACATTTTAGCCTGATCAGACTGTCAACATCCATCAAACAATGCAAATTCAGAAATTTTTTCCAGGTTCTTCGAAAGAGTTGACCCAAAACTTTTTGAAAGACCCACATTCAAAGCTTTTCTTGATATGACTGATAACTTCAATCCAAATCCGAAAGTTCGTGAGCCACAGGTTTCGCTCAAAGAGGTCAGTTGAAAAAGATGTAAAGTTATACTGCTGCTTGTTATTCGCTGCAGGAGCAAAGAGAAGTAGATGCTTTTCTGACAGCAGCTCTCAATTCGAAACCTTGGCAAATTTTCTATAGATTTCTCAACATGAAAGGTATGTGAGATGTCAAAATTTTCATCAAAATCAAATTCTTTGCTTTAGGATTGAAACATGCAGAAAACCGCAACGTGTTTCGGAAATGGATAGAACAAATCTGGTTCGAACACTATTCTCGTTCCAGAGGAGAAGTATTAGATAGTTCAGGATTTGAGCATGTTTTCATAGGCGAGGTATGATATGAAAAAGCAGTCGCTGGGTTTGAACAACCTAGACGCTGACATATTTGAACTATCAAGAAGTTTTATAAGCACTAGCTGGATTTCCCCGTCTAGCCCGAAACGCGTTAGCCGATCTTTGCTCCACTCCCCCCTCCCCTCCCCTCCCCTTAACACCTAGCCATTGTGTTGCGCAGCAAAGGTTTTCTGTATCAAAGTAACTTACCCGCTGTATGCTCCTCTCAAACCACCGCATTCTTCCTACCGCGAGAATCGAATGAACTCCACTGCTGTTGTTTACAAATTATAGAAATGACTTGTCAGCCCATGCTGAGAACTCATTCTCAACATGAACTCAAAAATCAATAAATCAATAGAATGGTCCAGCGAATCGCCACAAAAAGTAGCGCTAAACCACCTCCGGGGTCGAATACATATATGTGCAAAGTTTTAGCTCAATCGGTTCATTGGTGGGCGTTTCTGGTTCGGGGGGGGCGCGACAAAAATTTTTTTCTAAAGAAGGTGCGTGGCGTTAGCCACGCACTCCGAAAATTTTTTTGGGGTGCTTCTTAAAACTTTTGCGGGTCCCCGACCCCTAAAATCTAGAAAAAGGGGGCGTGGCGTCAGCCACGCCACCGAAAAAATTTTTTTTACAAAGCTAATTTGAATTTTTAAAAATTTTTAAAAATTACTTTAATTATTTACAAAAATAAACAAGTCACTTGCACATTTTTATAACCCACATAGGTAACTTTTAAAAATTTCGCGACCCATTCTCGGGGGGGGGGGGGCGCGCGCCCCCCCCCCCGCCCCCCCTCGGTACGCCACTGATATATACATATATATATATATCAGTGGCGTACCGAGGGGGGGGGGAGCGCCTCCCCCCCCCCGAGAACGGGTCGCGAAATTTTTAGAAGTTACTTACGTGGGTTATAAAAATGTGCAAGTGACTTGTTTATTTTTGTAAACAATCAAAATAATTTTAAAATTTTTTAAAAATTCAAATTAGCCTTATAAAAAAATTTTTTTCGGGGGCGTGGCTGACGCCACGCCCCCTTTTTCCGGATTTTAGGGGTTGGGGGCCCGCAAAAATTTTGAGAAGCCCCTATAAAAATTTTTCGGAGTGCGTGGCTAACGCCACGCACCTTCATCTGAAAAAATTTTTTGTCGCGCCCCCCCCCCCCCCCCCGAGCCGGAATCCTGGGTACGCCACTGATATATATATATATATATTAGGTTGGCACGAAAGTTCTTGCGTAATTCAAACAAAATTCAATGACTTTTCAAAGACTAAACCTAAATTCACAATCTTGTATGCTAAAAATATTAGAAGTCTTACGCTTCATGATGGATGTTCAAGCGTAAGATTCCGTGAGCTGGACATCAAGAACGAAGCTCTCGAATATGGCGCTTCAAATTTTGCGATTTTGAATTTGGTGCCAGAAAATCGCAGAGTGCCGCTAGCTAGCCGAAAAAAATCTGTAGAATTTACTTACACAGCTAAAGTCCATACGTTGTTTTAGCAGGCTTTGATCTCGCATGGAAACGCGAAAATAAAAAAAATTGTTGAAAATTCTCATTTCACAGGACAAATCCCCTTATCGCTCTAACCCAGAGAAACACAGCTTGCAACCAGAAATCAGACATAGTGCCTATTTAGAGCCTTGTGACGTTTTCTCGATTGTAAAAAAGTGTTTTCGCCGGAAAACTGCGGACATGAGGGGATTTTTTCCGCAACATGACTTATTTTACGAATTTTTTGTTTTTGCTTCACCTTGCAAGATCAAAGCCTTCCAAAGTAACATATGGACTTTTGTTGTGCAAGTAAATTCTACAGATTTTTTTCGGCTAGCCAGCGGCCCTCTGCGATTTTCTGCCACCAAACTCAAAATCGCAAATTTTGAAGCCCCGTATTTGAGAGCTTCATTCTTGATGTCCAGCTCACGGAATCTTATGCTTAAACATCCATCATAAAGCGTAAGACTTCCAATATTTTTAGCATACAAGATTGTGAATTTAGGTTTAGTCTTTGAAAAGTCATTGAATTTTGTTTGAATTACGCAAGAACTTTCGTGCCAACCTAATATATTAGGTTGTCCCGAAAGTTCGTTCGCACCATTTTCAATAAATCATAACTTCTTTGCATCATAATAATTTTGCGCATTTTAAATTTTATTAGAAAGAGCAAAGCATGTAGTCTCCAAAAGCCTCCTGATGACTTTCTGACATGCTCAGGTTGCAGAGATAAAAACGAAAGAACGAGAACATCCGAAATTCGGAATTTTTGAGCAAAAATTCTAGAAATTTAGAAACTGTGCGATAAAATCCAGAAAAGCCATTATCCTAATTTTTCTTATATTTGATTACTAACTGAGTTAAGTTTGGGTTGATCGAGCTCTTCTTTCAAAAGTTATGATTTTTTGAAATAAAATGCCGAAAAATCAATTTCTTAGGAATTCTTAGAAAGTGATTTTTCGACATTTTATTTCAAAAAATCATAACTTTTGAAAGAAGAGCTCAATCAGCCCAAACTTAACTCAGTTAGTAATCAAATATAAGAAAACTTAGGATGATGGTTGTTTTGGATTTTATCGCACAGTTTCTGAATTTCTAGAATTTTTGCTCAAAAATTCCGAATTTCGGATGTTCTCGTTCTTTCGTTTTTATCTCTGCAACCTGAGCATGTCAGAAAGTCATCAGGAGGCTTTTGGAAACTACATGCTTTGCGCTTTCTAATAAAATTTAAAATGCGCAAAATTATCATGATGCAAAGAAGTTATGATTTTTTGAAAATGGTGCGAACGAACTTTCGGGACAACCTTATCCTTGCAGTATATCTAATGATAAGGGAAAGTGCAACAAAAAAAAAGGCAGCGGGCGCTGTGCTGGAGCTCGCGGAGACAGCAGACAGCAGTGATGCACTTTCGTCTGGCGGAGGTCCCCCCTCTGCGCCGCCGAAGCGGGGGTCCCCCCTCCGCGCCGCCGGGTGGGGGCTGCTGGAGCTAGCGGAGACAGCAGACAGCAGAGATAAACATTCGTCTGGCCGGGGTCCCCCCTCTGCGCCGCCGAAGCGGGGGTCCCCCCTCCGCGCCGCCCTTTTTTTGAACAGATAAACATCCGTCTGGCGGGTTGTTTATCGCCGCCGTGATCTTTGAATTCCGAGGCCTGTTCTTAGACGATGTTGATCAAATGGCATATGGATGGCATAACCCAAAAGCATATCATTACGCAAGCTAATTTTCGTGTAGTTCGAAGCGCTTTGACACTTACAAAAGCAACTCAACTTTCATTGTTGGTGCAGGTTAGTTTACAATTTGATTTAGATCATTATTATTCATTATATTTGTACAACATAATTTATTATTCAATGGTTTGTAAGCAGCACGTAGGGCAACTCGATCGTGCAGGGAAACAGATTTTATACGCTTGGGGCAGTTCTTATAACTTTCAAACGGTCTTCAAGCGGCACTTAGGGCATAAACTTTCATTTTAAATAGTTACTATCGGTCTGTACGGTACGCAGGCCAACTCGATCGTGCAGGGAAACAGATTTTCATACGCTTGGGGCAGTTCTTATAATTTTTAAACGTTCTTCAAGCGGCACTTAGGGCATGAACTGTCTTCTATATATAGATATTATTGGTTTGTAAGCGGCACGTAGGGCGACTCGATCGTGCAGGGAAACAGATTTCTATACGCTTGGGGCAGTTCTTATGATTTTTGAACGGTCTTCAAGCGGCACTTAGGGCATAAATTTTCATTTTAAATAGTTAGTATCGGTCTGTAAGCAGCACGTAGGGCAACTCGATCGGGCAGGGAAACAGATTTTTGTACGCTTGGGGCAGTTCCTATATTTTTTAAACGGTCTTCAAGCGGCACTTAGGGCATGAACTGTCTTCTAGATATAGATATTATTGATTTGTAAGTGGCACGTAGGGCAACTCGATCGTGCAGGGAAACAGATTTTTATACGCTTGGGGCAGTTCTTATAACTTTCAAACGGTCTTCAAGCGGCACTTAGGGCATAAATTTTCCTTTTAAATAATTACTATCGGTCTGTAAGCGGCACGTAGGGCAACTCGATCGTGCAGGGAAACAGATTTTCATAAGCTTGGGACATTCTTGTAATTTTTAAGCGGTCTTCAAGCGGTACTTAGGGCATAAACTTTCACTTCAAATAGTTACTAGCGGAAGCGGCACGTAGGGCAACTCGATCGGGCAGGGAAATAGATTTCTATACGCTTGGGGCAGTTCTTATAACTTTTAAACGGTCTCCAAGCGGCACTTAGGGCATGAACTGTCTTCTATATATAGATATTATTGCTTTGTAACCTGCACGTAGGGCAACTCGATCGTGCAGGGAAACAGATTTTCATAAGCTTGGGACATTCTTGTAATTTTTAAGCGGTCTTCAAGCGGTACTTAGGGCATAAACTTTCACTTCAAATAGTTACTAGCGGTCTGTAAGCGGCACGTAGGGCAACTCGATCGGGCAGGGAAATAGATTTCTATACGCTTGGGGCAGTTCTTATAACTTTTAAACGGTCTCCAAGCGGCACTTAGGGCATGAACTGTCTTCTATATATAGATATTATTGCTTTGTAACCTGCACGTAGGGCAACTCGATCGTGCAGGGAAACAGATTTTATACGCTTGGGGCAGTTCTTATAACTTTCAAACGGTCTTCAAGCGGCACTTAGGGCATAAATTTTCATTTTAAATAATTACTATCGGTCTGTAAGCGGCACGTAGGGCAACTCGATCGTGCAGGGAAACAGATTTCTATACGCTTGGGGCAGTTCTTATGATTTTTGAACGGTCTTCAAGCAGCACTTAGGGCATAAATTTTCATTTTAAATAGTTGATATCGGTCTGTAAGCAGCACGTAGGGCAACTCGATCGGGCAGGGAAACAGATTTTTGTACGCTTGGGGCAGTTCCTATTTTTTTTAAACGATCTTCAAGCGGCACTTAGGGCATGAACTGTCTTCTAGATATAGATATTATTGATTTGTAAGTGGCACGTAGAGCAACTCGTTCGTGCAGGGAAACAGATTTCTATACGCTTGGGGCAGTTCTTATAACTTTCAAACGGTCTTCAAGCGGCACTTAGGGCATAAATTTTCATTTTAAATAATTACTATCGGTCTGTAAGCGGCACGTAGGGCAACTCGATCGTGCAGGGAAACAGATTTTCATAAGCTTGGGACATTCTTGTAATTTTTAAGCGGTCTTCAAGCGGTACTTAGGGCATAAACTTTCACTTCAAATAGTTACTAGCGGTCTGTAAGCGGCACGTAGGGCAACTCGATCGGGCAGGGAAATAGATTTCTATACGCTTGGGGCAGTTCTTATAATATATATATATATATATTAGGTTGTCCTAAAAGTTCTTGCGCCGGATTTTCAATAAATCATAACTTCCTTTCTTCTCAACGATTTTTCTCAATATTATTTTTGTATGAAAGAGGAAACCTTTTTCTTTATAGCGATGTCTTTGCCATGAAGTGGCGTTGGTAAGTTCGAGAGTTAAAAGCAATTGAAGGAAATTAGTCAAGATCGACGTTTTTTAAGCTGGATCACGAAAAATTCTGGAAGTACTTGTATTTGATAGAGAAAATTTTGCACATTACAGTGGTACCTTTTTCATGAATTAAAACGAAGTAGATCGAGAGTTAGAAGCAAATAAAGAAAATTCCTTCACCTTTGCAATTTTTGAGCATGCTCAAAAAAGCTTGAAAACGTCACAGAAAAGGCGAAAAAGTCATAAACATGGGTTTTGTGACCTCCCTTTCTAGCTGAGTGAGTTTCGAGCTAGTCAGGAGCAATTTTGATTTTCATGAAAAACGCAGACCCGAAAATCCGAATAAATCACGAAAATCAAAATTGCTCCCGATTGGCGCGATTTTTGCTCAGCTAGAAAGGGAAGGTCACAAAACCCATGTTTATGACTTTTTCGCCTTTTCTGTGACGTTTTCAAGCTTTTTTGAGCATGTTTAAAAACTGCAAAACTGAAGAAATTCTCTTTATTTGCTTCTAACTCTCGATCTACTTCGTTTTAATCCATGAAAAAGGCACCACTGTAATGTGCAAAATTTTCTCTATCAAATACAAGTACTTCCAGAATTTTTCGTGATCCAGCTTAAAAAACGTCGATCTTGACTAATTTCCATCAATTGCTTTTAACTCTCGAACTTATCAATGCTAATTCATGGCGAAGGCACCGCTTTAAAGAAAAAGGTTTCCTCTTTCATACAAAAATAATTTTGAGAAAAATCGTCGAGAAGAAAGGAAGTTATGATTTTTTGAAAATCCGGCGCAAGAACTTTTGGGACAACCTAATATATTAGGTTGAACCGAAAGTTCTGTCCCTCCATCTTCAAAAAATCATAACTTCTTTCCGTCACGATGATTTCGCGCATTTCAAATTTTATTAGAAAGAGTAAAGCATGTAGTTTCCAAAAGTCCCCTGGAGACTTTCCAACATGCTCAGGTTGCAGAGATAAAAATGAAAGAACGAGATCATCCGAAATTCGGAATTTTTAAGCAAAAATTCTAACAATTCAGAAACTGTGCGATAAAATCCAGAACAGCCATTATCCTAAGTTTTCTTATATTTTATCACTAACTGAGTTAAGTTTGTGCTGATCGAGCTCTTTTTTCAAAAGTTATGATTTTTTTTAAAAAATGCCGAAAAATCGATTTCTTAAGAATTCCTAGGAAAGTGATTTTTCGGCATTTTTTTAAAAAAAATCATAACTTTTGAAAAAAGAGCTCGATCAGCACAAACTTAACTCAGTTAGTGATAAAATATAAGAAAACTTAGGATAATGGCTCTTCTGGATTTTATCGCACAGTTTCTGAATTGTTAGAATTTTTGCTTAAAAATTCCGAATTTCGGATGATCTCGTTCTTTCATTTTTATCTCTGCAACCTGAGCATGTTGGAAAGTCTCCAAGGGACTTTTGGAAACTACATGCTTTACTCTTTCTAACAAAATTTGAAATGCGCGAAATCATCGTGACGGAAAGAAGTTATGATTTTTTGAAGATGGAGGGACAGAACTTTCGGTTCAACCTAATATATATATTAGGTTGGTCCGAAAGTTCTGTCCCACCATTTTCAAAAAATCGTAACTTCTTTCTATCACAATGTTTTTGCAAGAGTAAAACCGCATTTAAAACAGCAACTCATGCACTTTCTAAAACTACCTTGGCCTCTCTCTACTAAGCTCTGAAAGCAAAGATAAAATTGGGAAAACGATAACACTTCGAGTTTGGAATTTTTAAGCAAGCCCGTTAAAAAATCTAGAACTGTGCCATAAAATCCAAAACAGCCAGTATCCTAGACTATTTTACCCCCTCTTTCTGGCTGAGCAAAGTTCGCGCTGATCTAGCTGTTTTCCGAAAAGTTAGGATTTTTTGAAAAAAATGTCAAAAAATCAATTTTCTCAAGAAACTGATTTTTTGGCATTTTTTCTTGAAAATCATAACTTCTTTCAAAAAGGCTTGATCAACGCGAATTTTGCTCAGCCAGAAAGAGGGGGTAAAATAGTTTAGGATACTGGCTGTTTTGGATTTTATGGCACAGTTCTAGATTTTTTAACGCGCTTGCTTAAAAATTCGAAACTCGAAGTGATTTCGTTTTCCCAATTTTATCTTTGCTTTCAGAGCTTAGTAGAGAGCAGCCAAGGTAGTTTTAGGAAGTGCACGAACTGCTGTTTTCAATGTGGTTTTACTCTTGCAAAAACATTGTATTAGGAAGAAGTTCCGATTTTTTGAAAATGGTGGGACAGAACTTTCGGACCAACCTAATATATTAGGTTGGTCCGAAAGTTCGTTCGCACCATTTTCAAAAAATCATAACTTCTTTCCTTCACAATGATTTTGCGCCTTTCAAATTCTATTAGAAAGCGTAAAGCATGTAGTTTCTAATAGTCCTCTGGCGACTTTCCAGCATGTTCAAATTGCAGAGATAAAAATGAAAGAACGAAAACATCCGAAATTCGGAATTTTTGAGAAACAATTCCAAAAATCTAGGAACTGCGCGATAAAATCCAGAAAAGCCACTATCCTAATTTTTCTTATATTTGATTACTAACTGAGTTAAGTTTGTGCTGATCGAGCTCTTCTTTCAAAAGTTATGATTTTTTGAAAAAAATTCCGAAAAATCACTTTCCTAAGAATTCCTAAGAAATTGTTTTTTTGGCATTTTTTTTCAAAAAATCATAACTTTTGAAAGAAGAGCTCGATCAGCACAAACTTAACTCAGTTAGTAATCAAATATAAGAAAAATTAGGATAGTGGCTTTTCTGGATTTTATCGCGCAGTTCCTAGATTTTTGGAATTGTTTCTCAAAAATTCCGAATTTCGGATGTTTTCGTTCTTTCATTTTTATCTCTGCAATTTGAACATGCTGGAAAGTCGCCAGAGGACTATTAGAAACTACATGCTTTACGCTTTCTAATAGAATTTGAAAGGCGCAAAATCATTGTGAAGGAAAGAAGTTATGATTTTTTGAAAATGGTGCGAACGAACTTTCGGACCAACCTAATATATTAGGTGGGTGCAAAAGTTCTGTCGTTTCATTTTCAAAAATTTGTAACTTCGCCAGATTTCAACGGATTTGCTTGCTTGTAATTTTATTAGAAAGAATAGGTCTTCCGCTTTCAAGGCTGTTTTGCGGAGCTTCTGTTTCGCACTGAGTGCAGAGATAAAAATGGAAAACTAAGACCATGTAAACTTTGACCATTTTAAGTTAGGTCACCAAAAATCTGGAATGCTGCAGAAAAATCTGAAATCGTCAGTACATATGTTTTTTGGCCTACTCTTTGCAATTGTGAAGAGTTTGTGCTGTTTGGACGTCTCCGTGAGAAGTTATGAATATCGAGTTTACCATGGAAAACGCCAAAATCAACTAATTTGTGAATTTTCGCGAAAATCATAACTTCTCACAGAAACGTCCAAACAGCACAAACTCTTCACATTTGCAAAGAGTAGGCCAAAAAACATATGTACTGACGATTTCAGATTTTTCTACAGCATTCCAAATTTTTGGTGACCTAACTTAAAATGGTCAAAGTTTACATGGTCTTAGTTTTCCAATTTTATCTCCGCACCCAATGTGAAGCAGAAGCTCCGCAAAACAGCGCTTGAAAGCGAAAGACTTATTCTTTCTAATAAAATTACAAGCAAGCAAATCCGTTGAAATTTGGCGAAGTTACAAATTTTTGAAAATGAAACGACAGAACTTTTGCACCCACCTAATATATATAGATTTATGAAATCGTGACGACGGGTTTGACTGCGGTCTTTGCGCCCATAGGAGCACAAAACACTCATATAAAAAGGCATCACCTTGATGCTCAGCTCAGTCTCCATTGTCCAAATACTATCATATGTGAACAGAAAACCATTCAAGTAGGGACGAAAACCAATAAAATGTGGTTGCTGGAAGTACGTGCGTGCCACGCGCGGTCGTCATGTCACGATTTTTCAAATTTTTCCCTATACCATAAAGCTAAGCAATCAAAATATGTAAAAGTGGCAAGATGTACAAATTTTTGATTTATCCTCAGTTCAAAACTGCAAAGAAGAAGAAGAAAATAGTCAATGGACTCCACAACTGGATACGATTCTACCAACTTGAACAAGACGCCAGCGAAAATTTCTATTATAAAGAATATAAGGATCATCGCAAAGTTAGAGCGCAAAACTTTTTGCAAAACGCATAATAATATTGTACATTTTAGAACATCCTAGCAGCATTGAGATACAGTTGGCGTGGCGCAGAGAAACCGCTTGGGTCGATGTTCGTTGGAACTTCACCCGAATACGACATGGCAATTTTTACTCTTTGCTTTCTGGCACGGCCCGATAAGCGCAATTGTAATGTGAGTACAAGAACAACTATACCAACAGTGGCAGACCGAGAGGGGAGGAAGTATGGAGAGGCATTTTTAGAAACTACTTAAATGAGTTATAGAATGTGTAAGTGACTTGTTCGTTCTTGTATAAAGAAAATTCAATACATTTTTCTTTTCAAAATTCAAACTAGCCTTGTACAAAAATTTTTAGAGTGTTTCGGGGTTATGGGCTGCAAAGATCTTAGAAACCATTCCATTCAGCACCTTCAAAAAAATTTCTTTCCCCTCCCCTCCAAATCTGGGAACGCGACTGCTGCACATTTATGTGTCATATTCATTAAGCAAAAAGAGAAAAGTTTTTTGTGTACTATTAATCGCAATTCAATTATCATTTGTAATATTATGGGATATTTGTAATGATTTTTAGAAATTTTAGTTGAAATAATACTGCTTGAGTCCCAGCATAAACAGATTCTCTTGTCAATCTCAAGTAACATAGAGGCTTAAGATTGTCATCGATGAATGCGTCGTCAAAATCCAGACACATACATTGAATCAAGAGGGCAAGGTTAATGTTCTATCAAATTCTTCAGAGTGTTTCTATCAACTTATTTTAGTCTTATGTTGGATCCGCATTTCCCTTGATTGACAAAAGTACAATTTGTGGACGAAAACATTAGAGGCTGCACTTCAACGAGTCAATACATTTGTTCTCATCACAGTTAATAAACTAGTTTATACAACGATTGGATTTAGTTTCATGGCTAACATCATGTTAGCTGAACATACGCTGCTTGCTAATTGAAAATGGAGCTTTTCGTTATGCAAATACAGTATTCTCCTCTATGAAAGCAAACACTATGCTACGAGCAGAAAGCACTCCACATTCTTTCACCAAGTAGCTGTAACTTTTTCAAACGTAAATGTTTTGTTGAACGACTGGCGAACACGAAATAAAACCCAAAGCACGTGATATAGCTAGTAGTGACTTATGTTTTTCTGATAAAACAATACTGAAAGACTTCGTGCTCGATTGTCGATAAACCTTGGCATTGTGATTCAAATTGTAAATACAGTTTTTTGAAGCTGTTAACCAAGGTTGGTAGCAAGACTTTATTGTATGAAAAGCCAACGTTTCGGCGGTCCGTCCGCCTTCTTCAGGGCTTCCTGAAAGATCGAGACTTTGAGAACTGCCCGCCCAAACACCGTGTTTGGCAATGGATTTAGTTTGACTATGTGATGAAGTGGCAGAGTAGAGGTTGAAAGCCCGACCTCAGCCTTGCCAGATCAAGATGTAGAAACCGAACGACCAGTAGTGCGCTGCAGCTGCGCTATGAGTAAGGATGATAGTTATTGTCAACGATGCCCTTTATTTGGTCATAGAAGATTTCGTGTCAGAATCGACATAGCGTTTAATAAGAGAATAGTTCACTTTTTATGGCAATGCCTTCATCTTTGCGATTTATTTTTGGTGATTTGGACGCTATCCAGAAGGCAGACACACTGGCAGACCCTTGTGCACAAGTATTAAAGAGCATCTTGACGGCCTTAGAAATCTAAAATGTCCACACCTTCGGGTGCACATCGAAGGTTATGTCATGAGAACCAGTACTTTCAAGTCACTGTAACGATCTTGTCGCACGAGTCCGAGTTAATAGCCCGCAAAACGTTGGAGGCTTTCTGTATAGCGTCCAAATCACCAAAAATGGATCGCAAAGATGAAGGCATTGCCATAAACAGTGAACTGTTCTCTTATCAAACGCTATGTCGATTCTGATAAGAGATCTTTTATCGTAACTTATAATAACGGGCTAAGGGTTGTTTACGTTTGTGTGTGTGTGTGTGTGTGTGTGTGTGTGTGTGTGTGTGTGTGTGTGTGTGTGTGTGTGTGTGTGTGTGTGTGTGTGTGTGTGTGTGTGTGTGTGTGTGTGTGTGTGTGTGTGTGTGTGTGTGTGTGTGTGTGTGTGTGTGTGTGTGTGTGTGTGTGTGTGTGTGTGTGTGTGTGTGTGTGTGTGTGTGTGTGTGTGTGTGTGTGTGTGTGTGTGTGTGTGTGTGTGTGTGTGTGTGTGTGTGTGTGTGTGTGTGTGTGTGTGTGTGTGTGTGTGTGTGTGTGTGTGTGTGTGTGTGTGTGTGTGTGTGTGTGTGTGTGTGTGTGTGTGTGTGTGTGTGTGTGTGTGTGTGTGTGTGAATCTCTGTCTGTCACGAAATTCGTAGAGCATGTTCCAGTCAACGTCCTGAGCTCAAATTATGCATAGCGCTTGCTACTGGCATGAAAGTCCAATATGCAAAAGCACAAGCAGATTCGTTGAGTGGGTCCCTTGAAAAATGCGCGTCAAACGGATCCACTTTGTATTTAGCCCTCAAATTTGGGTCCGTAATTTCACTTTTTGCACAGTCGTGGATGTGTTTGGCAAGTAAATGTGCAAGCCATGGACTTAGGCCCAAAAAAGTGATCAAAAGTTTACTAATTTACAAAAACGGCGCCAAAAAGTACGGGTTGCGTGAATGTTCAATTTACCAAGGTTTTACCTGAGCATTTGACAAGATTTCTGCACAAAAATGTAGCACACGGTGACTACTATTCTTACGACGACTGCCAAAACTATGGAAAAATCAAAAACCTATACAATTCTGCGTCCTATTTCACATGAAGAAGCTTTCGGAATGAGTAGTTGTTCACATGTTGTTTCGTGATAGGCGGCATTGCTCGGTGAGTTTCAATGCCACCATTATGCGAGAATGAGTAGGGCTTAGATAGCAGAGCGAGTGCGAGCCTCTGCGAAGCAGAGGTCACGCACTGGTGACCATATGAAGGGCATTGTTGACACTAGCTATCATACTCACTCATAGCGCAACTGCAGCGCATTACTGGTCGTTCGGTTTCTATATCTTGATCTGGCAAGGCTGAGGAAGCCCTGAAGAAGGCAGACGGACCGCCGAAACGTCGGCTTTTCGTACAATAAAGTCTTGCTACCAACCTTGGTTAACAGCTTAAAAACTGTATTTACAATTTGAATCACAATGCCAAGGTTTAACGACAAACGAACACGAAGTCTTGCAACAGTACCATCGCAATCGACATTTACAATGCATGTGTGAAGTATCCGTAATCAAACGAAACTCTTCCTCAGCTCTTTGATTAGTGTGACTCTTTTGAACTGAAGGAGAAGGGATAATGATCCGATAAGTTGTGTAGTCTGATAGTCTAATAAATGCCTCGGGCAGAATTCACGCGATTTCATGTCGCGACTGAATCGCTACAAGACAGCTGTTACGAGTTCATGGCATGCCGATCAGCTTGCATTTCGGTTGTGATACTTTTCCAGCCTGAAATTTTTGAATGTGAAAAAGAAATGAATGAAAATCGCGGCGATTAAATCGCGACGATCAGATCGCGTGAACTCTGTCCGAGGCCTTAGGCGTCCACATGAAGGAAAAAACAATGCAAAATTATGTACATCGAACATAAAAAAGACAAAACAGATCAGCCAGTTGGAGTCAGTTCTGTAGGTTGGTAAAAGAGTGTAGTAAGGGACAGCCTGCATGAACTACGGCCATAGGTGACAAGGCTTTGACATGAACATGCGCTGATAGCAGTATGAAGTGGATAATATCAATGGAGATAGTCCCCATGCCTCCACGTTTGCCAGCAAAAACAATCTTGACCTATTCAAAAAAAGCAAACTGGAAGCTTGGCTGACGCTGGCTGGTAACATGACCAGCCAGGCCTGAACCAGTCTACTGGGGAAAGTCCTTAGGATCAATGAGAGAAGATGCGGTTCCAAGTCGTAAGTTTGGGTTAGCATTTTCGCATAGCTTGTGTCGTAAAATTCTCTGGACCAAGTTCTTCTTTCCCTTCCATGAGTTGCCCAACCGTAACTCTCAATTGCATTAATAAATTTCAGCAGAAATGGCTGCATTCGCAAAGTTGCATTAGCCTCCGCTAGCCGTCTGTAGGCTCCCTTGGCAGCCGTCAGCCGCCGCGGCAGCCGTTAGCCCTCTTTAACCTTTTTTACCCGCTTTGCGACTATTGCACATCAATTGTATAAAAAAAATGAAAATTGGGGATATTGTGGCTTTTGCTCTAGCGTAAGGATTTATCTGGCATGCTGAAAACGAAACGCATTTATTTCGCGAATAGCGTTATCTGGTGGAGTTACGGCAGATTTACTGTAAGGTAATAAAATTATGAATATGCCTGAAACTCTGTCTAAAGGGAGGTGGGGGGGGGAGAGACGAGGTATTTAGCACGCTGAATATAAGCATCGAAGTTTGGCATGATAGCACTGTTTTTTCATTTCACATGGGTATATGGTATGTACGTCAAGATTCAAATCTGCACAATAATTTGCCTGGAGGGGTTACCAACAGCATCAAGCCTGAGATGGCACACCACTCGAATTTTGTAGCGAGGGGTTAGAGATCGGATTCGGTTGAACGAGGTGATACTGAGGGCGGTAACATGATATTTGTCAACCAGATATCAGTCAAATCCTTTGCAGAACACAAGCACACACTTCAGCGTATACAGGTGGTATGCATAATAAGGGAACCCTCTCAAGCATGGAATGAGTGGCGTAGTGGTATGAGGCGCGTTATGACCAGATCAGACCCAAATTTGATTCCTTCCTGCGCCAATCAATCCCTCTACCCTCCGAAGTCGGTAAATTGGTACCAGAGTAATCTGGGAGGATAAAAGCACTGACTCGGTAAACGGCTGGCTACCGCAAGTCACAATAATAGGCTGACATGCAGTAACCTCTTCATAAAGCGCGTTCATGCCCGAAAGGCTGTTGAAGATGCGGAATCCTTTATCCTTTTTCCTCAAGCATATGATGAGTAATATTTTCGTACTCAACATGTCCCATGCCCTTGTGGACCAAGTATTAGCGAATTCCGAAGCTTTCAAATATTGAACAGCCCAGAGCTGCTCTTTCGCCTTCAGTTTTGTGCTTTCAGCAACTATTCAGAGTGAAGAAGACGAATAAGTCTCATATCACTTTCAAAAAAAAATGAAGAGATCCGAGTCATCGAATACATTTCGCCACTTTTCTTGCAATTGTAGTGGAGCAGATATGGCGTAACCCGATGTTTGCTATGAGCATAGAGTTGGAAAAACGACTCTAACTTCTTCCAGAAGTACACTAATTTTTGACAGGGAAGCAAGTTTATCGGTTTTAACGATATAAAAATAGATGAATGCTTCGAAGTTAAGCTAATGGGGTGTGGCACAATCCCAAAAGAAGCGTGGTAGTAAACCTTTTTTGGGGTTGTGCCATACCTAACTTTGCTTCAAAGAAACTAGCCTGAATTTCGCATTTTTCAAGTAGGCGAAAAATGAGGCAAACGCGATTTTGGCTGACTTCTAACTCCATAGTTTGGCGGTTATTTGAAATGGGATGCTTATTGGTAAAGAAAGAGTAGGGCTTTGTATTGAGTGCACGAATAGTTCAAGTTCAACTAGCTCACCTTGAAAAACAAGTTGATCATGTTTGAAAAAGACCATTCCACTTGGGTTGCTCATTATTTGAAAACCTCAGTATTCGTTGAAATTTAGACCACAGGGAACATTTACATGCTAGTTACGAATACTTTACTCATTATGATTGGTAGAGCTTCATATCATGCCTATCATGAGTAGGCCATAGTAACCGATAATGCTGAGGAGTCTGTTGAGACTTCTGCATTTAGCAGGGGGAAAGAGGGGGAGGGCGAGAAAGTTGTATTGTTCGTGCGCCACACCTCTTTCTCAAATCTGCTTATATCTAGAAGAGAAAGGGCATTTTCAGGAGATGCCGCACGAGACTGTGTGCTCTGAACTTTCATGATATTGTCAAGTCCCTAACTCTCAATAATTCTTTTGTTCAATGGCACCGAGTTTATACAGCTTCTAAAGTTGCGGACATATGGAGGAGACATTTTCGATCGGAAGCGGGAAACCAAACAGAACAAAGTCGTAGTAAAACATTTTGATAAGAAGATCCATTAAGTATCTACTAGAAAGAATGCTTCTTCTTGTCTCTTCTTGCTCCACTGTGCCCCTGGTAGTATGATTCAAATGGCCACAAAGAACAGATTCCTCTAAAACACGCAGCTATAGAAAACTTGAAATATCTGCAGTGAGGTCTTCTCTCGGTTATCGCATACACACCTACTATATAAGCAATGAAAGATTCAGGCACATTTTGCTTTTTCAATGTTGCTGCAAGGTCCCGTATAAATTCTGCTGCTTTGAAGGTGTCAAATTTCAGTATATGATATTGGCTCAAGTGAAAGTTGAATTCGCAGCGCCTAAACGAACCTTAAACGTTTGAGTAAATTTGAAAAATTATGATGATATCGAAGAGAGAAATCATTGAGTCATAATGTTGTGTTGATGCGCTAGCATACAAAGTGTGGTAAAGAAATCAGGCGAAGCAAGCTGTAATACTGGCTTTAACTTACCATTTACATGTACTTTAGAAACAAAACACCAATTGATCTTTATCTATTGTAAGAAATTTTGAAAGAGTTTTGTTGACATCAATGGAAGCCATCGCGCAGAATCGACTGAATAAAGACAAAGACTACCTTTACGTAACAGCGCGCCAGATGGGCTGCCTTAAGCAACTTAATCTTAGAAGCATTAATAACACGACACTTTGAAAAGGGGAACAATCATAACGAATTATTTGAGACAAAATCACATGCCATTCAAAATGTAAAGTAAGTAGAGTTGCTTGTTTGCTAATACATTGCTTCGTTTCCTTCCACGGAAAGCACTTTGGTGCGACATCACAGCGGTTTTTACGGCGGATTTGTACATCAACTCTAGTACAAAACGACGCGTAAAACCATCTTCAAAATTTGAAATGACGAAAAGCAACAAGGTTTGATTGAAAATGATGAACTCGTAGCATACTGTTCGGAGCGCAAGAGTATGTACGAATTACCGCACAGTGATAGAGGTGAGGTCATTGATTCCTTCTTTGAGCAATCTTTCATTTTTGAAGTAGACTCGAACGAATCTGAGCAGTGATTCTGTGGATCCCCTGCTTTATCGATGAAAATCGCACTTAAGCTTTGTACAAAAAATGCATGCAAAGCATGTGAACTCTCCGCTTACCAACTTTGCGGGAAGAAGTGTTCTGCATCAAAGTCTCCCACATAATCTTCAAATGTCCCTAGCATCATCTTGTCGTATAGCTTCTCCATGAAGCACGTCAAATTCTGAAAAAAACCCAATCAAACAGTCCAAAAAAGCAGAACGTACCGTTTTGCATCCGCAACAGCGTTGAGGATAACCTTCCCACTCCTTTCTCCTAAACGTATTCTAGTTCAGAGGAAAAACGAACTAAAGCTATGCACATTTTGCTCCCACCTTAGGCATTTATCAGCGAAACCGGATACAAATCGTTCAAGTGGATCACGTATCACAGCTATCATTGTCCATGCACTAAGATTGAACTCACGTGAGACTCCAGCAAGAGATGAATATTCGTTGCGTTCTTTACAAAATCTGTAAGAAGACTACGGGCAATGGAACGAGGGGACATCAAATCAGGGCAGAAGTTTGCCTGAGAAGATGGCGCTCTTTTGATATGTCTCTTCGTTGTTCCACAAATGCAACTGCGTCGTAAAGAAAGCACATGATAGCAGTCAGTGTAGTAGAGAAGTTTTTTTGTATGGTGCATGCGAGTAAACGGTAGACATGAGCAATCTGAAATCAGTGTAAAAATTACCAGGCTCAAAAAGTTACTGAACAGAGTGCTTGAAAATGTGGCAAATTGTGACCTTTCTCTGTTTTTTGTATATATTTCATCTAAAAACTTCAATTTTCATTTTAGTAAGTTTCAAACTTTGATTTGAGTTTTTGGAATGAAGGAAAGTTGCCGCACATTTTTGTTAATGTGGTGATTACAGTATTATTTGATTGTGTAGTTTTCATGCGAATCTTGCAGGAAAAACGATGAAACCCTGCTATTAAACCATTCAGATAACCGCTGAATCTAAAAGTTGCAACAGTTTCAAAAGGCTTTTTTCCAAAGTCAACTTGTTCGAAAACATTGTCACGCAAAAGCTTCCAGGTCATTTGAAAGTTTTTAGAAATGGCAACTTGTTCACTTTGGCGTCAATGAGTTTGTAATTGCATCCGTAAAGTACATTATCAGAGAGCGGTCGATATACTTACTTCGTCTTGCAAAGGAACAGTGAGAACTTAATCCGGCCAATTCAAATGACTTGTATAACATCAAACTCAGCTGGAAACGGTTGTCGTACCCCGCTACAATTTGTAACGGAATCTCAAACGTGAAAGATATGAATATGCGAGCCTTTAAAGAAGGAGGTCAAATGTGCAAATTCTTCTTCTCCTCCAACTTTTTTGCACGTTTTGCGAAAGTTTGCTTTTTGATCGTAAACAGCCTAGGCACCTCTGCATACTCAAGGCCACTTTGTTTTGTAATGCGAATTTTCTGCACGCTCAACTAGTGGCGAGATCGATGCATGATTATGCCATCAACAAAAGACTTACCTTTCTAACTAAACTTTGTAGGAGTATGTTTTAGTACGGTTAATATCAAAGTTGATTATAACTACTTGCTTTCATTTTATAATTTTCAGATAAATTTTTTTGATTATTTATAGTCTTTTGCTCATATATGCAACTCCATCCTTAAATTGTCTTAATGTATTTTACAAATGACAGTCTAGTCAAAAATATTTAACCAGTTTGCAAATCGAAATTTGATGATAAGCTATTGATAACCTGTGGCCGTATTCATCAAAGAACCCTGGAGGGTTAGTTTAATACTGGAAAGCGTTTAACCCGTATCCATGAAACACAGGGTAGGCTTTACCCTGAGGGTTAAATCTAACCTTGAGAGTTAATTTTACCCCAAAAGCGACTAACCCGTATTCATCAACGAACGGTGAGGGTTAAACTAACCCTGGAGGGTCAAAATTACGTGATTTATCAGGTTCAATTTAACCCTAGCTCAGATCAAGGTTAGCTCTACCCTAACACTTCATACAAACATTTACTCGCATCTGATAGTTTATGGAAAACGATCAGCGCGTATTGTAGTATTTAGTATTGGTTGTTATTATAATATTTAGTTTCGACTTCGTTTTATGTTCATATTCGAAGTACATGAAACACTGACTTCGCGAAGAAAAGAGTTCTAGCTTTGCTGACAAATGAATGCGACGAGGAAAAATGGCATTCCACTCCGAAGTGCCAAAACAGAGGAACCCCTCTATAATAACACGCATTGACCCCTAAAAGAGTAGCACAAGCCCGATATAAAACGAACTGCAAAAGTAGAACTTACACTGCACAATTGCACACATGAAAATAAACTCATGCTGTAAGATTGGATGCTGCACAAGTATGCTAGAGATGTAGTATAAAAACTAGTGTTAGAAGCTTATTCGTTGACTATACTACTATAACAGTGAAAGAATAGAAGTATAAAGTGAATTTAGCCCGTACTTAGGCATTCTGTGGTGTGAGTTTGCACAGCGCACGCGTAACTGACGCCTTAACCCTCCAGGGTTAGTTTAACCCTCAGGGTTGATGAATACAGCCACAGGTTCGTTGATCGATACGGGTTGATCGCGTTCCGTGGTACCCTAGCCTATGGTAGATGAATACGGCCAGTGAACCCTGAGGGTTAAACTAACCCTGGAGGGTAAGCTTAACCCTCAGGGTTCGTTGATGAATACGGCCACTGGTCAGACATGGTTTTGATCAGAGGGGTGTTTCTGTTGCTAATGCCATAATCATCCAACCGATCACCGCCACTAAGAAAGTGCAGAAAAAGCACAGGAAAATTGTGGCTTTAATACATAGAGGTTGTTTACGCAAATTGAATGGGCAAAGTTCTAATCATTCCTTTGCAAGTCAAAGCTAAGTCTTCAGAACTAGAGGACGTCGAGACAGATCACTGAAAGCCAAACCGCCAGTTTTTTGGACACACTGCATAACTTACGACATGTCATTACTTTATACTCTCCATTCACTCTTTGAAATGGCGGAACGCATGATGATGATCTTCTCTCCGAATACAGGTTTCTCACTGCAAGCACAAACCAGGAATTCAAATCGACTTTACTGCAAAAATCTTCTTTACCATTTTTGACGTCCCAATCGCATGTTGTGCACAGTTTGAATAGAAAGCTAGTACAGTGTAATATCCATAGCATAAAACTGAGTAGAACGAATGAGAAAATCAGTGACCGGTGCATGCGCAGACACAGCATAATGCAGCAATTGGCGTTCTGTTGAAATCTATATTGATATTACATATTAATGCAGGGCGGGAATATGCAAGGTGTTAGATTGAGGAGGGTTCAAAATGTTAGCCTAGAGAGGGTTGGTTTCAATTCTTTCTTTGCCGTCATATCGAAGGACTGCCTTTAACAATCTCGATTCGAATTTACTATCGGTGAAATTGCTCTAATTCACAATGCATGTAAAAAAAGATGTACAGCTTTTTTTTGTTCTCAGCTAATTAGATATACAAGATGTCCTCCGTTGATATGTGGTGCACAATGAAAAGCTGAAGAAAATACTTTTCAAAACGAGTTTTTTTTATGACTTCAACAAGTATAGATTTGTAATGAGAACAAATCAGTTGCGTTCTTCTACGTTTACTTACGTTTTACGTTACGTTTTCTACGTTCTGAACTGCTTCCAAAAAAACTTTGCAGACCATTTTTATGAAGACAGAGTAAGAACGAGAGAGCAGGGCCCTGCGCGAGTGTGGCAAATACCAAGCTGAAATTGGGGAAAAAGCATAGAAGACATCGGAAATACACATATCGTGCATCATAATCATGACTCCATGCAATTTTACAGACTATGCTTGTGAACGATTTTATTGTATGAATAAAATTGTTGCGAAAAAAAAATTTCCGTAACTACCCTCCAAGGAGTGCTTCGCGGATACTAAAAACAGATTCGGAATCAGCGTTCCATGCTCTATAAGACTGTACACATTTCCTATGGGGACGCCACTTCGATCAAGTATCCTTCACTTGTGAGTAGCAGAGTGTTGTGGAAAAGTTATATGACTGCCAAGCTTTTTCAAAAATTTTTTATCGGTAAAGAAAGGAAAAGTGACTTGTTTGCAGCGCACAGGTAACGATACGGCGCTAAACTTGATGTGCATATAGGTGGTGAGGAATGAACAAAGTTTGAGGTTTCATGAACGATATGTGGATGGGGAGGGTGCCCATCTTTCTTCAAAATTAGGGCGGCAATTGCGGTACCCAACCTGAGGGTGGCAAAAAATATTTTTTACATATATGAAGCAAATTTTGGTTATGAAACTCCCCATCTCTTTCATGATCCAAACATCAAAAACACCTTCCTTTGAAAAAGAAAGCGCGCTAGAAATAGTATGACGCGATGGAATGAAAAATCTAAAATTCGATAGTGGCAAAGGCAAATTCGTTTTGCAAGTGTCCATTTGTGGTCCTATGCCGAGCCCAAAAAAGCCCTTGTTCCTCCTCACCACTTTTTTGGTGCGTACAACGGAAACAATTGCCGCTTCTCAGAAATTGTTCAATTTTATTAATGCAAATCTATGCCTTAACAGCTTGGTACAGGAACAATTTACTCGTGCCCTATTGAAGTACTTGGTGCTATAGAACGATTGAAGCTAGTTGACGAACCTTTCAACTCCGGGCGTCAAGCACGGCAGGCAAGAATGGTTATCTTAACCAAACTGCTGAGGCGAATAACCTACTGCCCAAAGAGGCAGTCAATTATTTGCCCAGGTTTCAAGATAGGGGAACACATGAGGTACTTTCCTTGCTTGATTTTTTTTCAGAAGTTAAGAAACACCTTATAAATAAGCGTCCCAAACCAAGGTTATGAACTAATTGCTAAATTTTCCGAGTTTTCGAGTGTTGATGCTAAGCGCTCATAATTGTGAGCAGGATCGTAGAAGTAAAAGTTTGGTGCGGAAGACACCGGTGATCTAATATTGAAGAGAAACTTCAAAATTACAATAGCTTGGTGGCTTCAGTTTATAGGAAACAAGTTTGTGATATTCTATCAGGTTCTTTGATATTTTTGATCAAAACGGGTCATCGATCCTTTTTTTGTTACCGTTTGAAGTTGTTTGAACACTCAGCTCGTAAAAAGTTTTGAACTCTCAGCTCGTGTAGAGCTTAATCGAATTTCCCATTTTTTGAAGCTATCACGTGAATAAACCAGTTCCTGTACAGAAAATGATTAAAAAGCTCGTTCCATGAGAAGTTGTTAGGAAGCCAGATGCATGGCGCGGATCACTGACCTACTAGTCTTTAGTGACGAGGAAACGGAGGTCGATTTAACCTCGTAGCAGGGTATAGATAGTGTTCAGCAGGAAGGAGCAGCTAGGGCGCTAAGAAAGCGCTTTCGGAGTTCAAACGCGCCATCGAAGAGAGGCGGGCCTACCCACATAGATAGAGCTATGAGAAGCCTGTTGAGAGGGCCAAACCGGTATGAAAGTAAATTATTGCACTTAGCGATAAGCGGTCATAGTTATTGTGTAGTTGCTGTTAGTTTTCTGGCACAAAGGTTAGATATCTTGCACTCAAACCCGTGTCCAGCGTCGAACGGGTTGATTCCGTAGCATACCACTAGAATCCATAGCCGATAGCCTTACATGAGCCCCGCGTCATTGTTTCGATTGATTGTAAGATCATGCGCGGTACGAGTATGGATATTCTTTACCTTTATTCTTTATCTCATACATGTAAACGTGTGCCGAAGCCTATGTGAGTAAAGAAAACATGGTTAGAGTAAAATAGAATAGCCTGCCACCTTTAGCAGGAACAGAAACAGCGAATAAAGGTCTCAGGTGTTGAGGAAGAAAAAAATCTATGTGGTCAAGGAAGTAGGTGATTGGCATTGAGGAATGCACTGCCACATCCGGCCGTCCAAAACGTCTGTGATTGGTTCCTGCCTGGTATCCACCAACCTGACACCACCGACGCTTAGATACACCTGCCTTATTCTGGGAAAGCTATGCAGTAAACGCAGCTGTCTACGGTCCCAAGGAGCAGTGCTGTTGCTCATCCGAAAGCGGGTGACAAGCCAAAAAAGCATGGTTAGTAAGCACAAAACACGAGAAATCAAAAAAGCATGAAGTCATGAACAGACGTAGTAGCAAAGGGCTTCACGAAAGCGGCTGTCGTAAAAGCGAAGTGGGGAGAGCAAAGTCGGGAACACATGAGTCGACAAGCGGAGGTTAGCAGCAAGCAGATCTGTAATAAAAACAGACCAGAAACAAGTCACAAAGGAATGTTCAGTAATTGGATAATGTCAACTTTAATCAATCACTTTAATTCTTTTGAACGCTTCATAGTTGCCGCACTCAAAACTTCGCGAGTTATGCACCGTAACCATCTAACTACCCGACAAAAAATATGATTGGATAACAGGTTGGCATGTTTCCTCTCAACTTTTGGGTAATGCAAGTTGAAACTACCGTGTCTATCGTAGGCAGGCATAAAGATCCAGGGATTTACTTGACTTTATATATATATATTAACTATCTGCAGGGCAAGCCGCCAAAAGCGTGCAAAAACAGACAGATAAGGAGTAAAAGTAATATTGACTACATCGTAAGCACTTGTAAGGAGGATATCAGTTGTAAACAACTTTTTTCTATGTTTTCTCTTTTTTTTGAGTTCACCGGTCACTTATGGCATTGATATCAATGATAGCCATAAAGTGAAGCAAGTTGCTGCCTGGTAAGACCAAGCAGAAGCAAAAGTTGTGCAAATTATGTTTAGGAAAAGAGAACAAAGAGTTTGATGGAAGGCAACCTATTCATTCAAAAAGTAGAGGCATTCATTGTGGGGCGGATAGCTGAGGATACCACCCAAAGATGAAGTAAGGCTATGGTATCCACAGTGCTAAGCAGATTAGACAGTCTAATATCCGAGGGTAAGGAAAGGCGCAGTCACGCAATTGGAAGTTGTAAATGCAAGGAAAGCAACACACAAGGGCCGCATGCCATCCGCAAGTGTTTTTACTATCCATTACTACTCAGACAATCGCTGGGGGCAGGCGGGCACCGGAAAAATAGATTGCTGATTTCTCGCACCCCGCTCGCGGATTTTTTGCAAAGCAATCAGGACTTTTCGGAAGACCGCTTGCCGAGTCAGCGGATTTTTGAGAGACCGCCTGCTGGATTTTTTTCGTTCTTATCTTTTGCAGATATATTGCTGAATCTCTGAGGAATCGAGAATTCAGCAAGCGGTCTTCCGAAAAGTCCTGATTGCTTTTCAAAAAATCCGCGAGGGGGTGCGAGAGATCAACAATCTATTTTTCCGGTGCCCGCCTGCCCCCAGCGATTGTCTAAGTAGGAACACATTGAGCAGGAGCGAGAATTTGCACAAGCCGGCCTTCCCAGTCTTTATATAATTCCCTGATGTTTCTCGCCGGCAAATTTTCTTTCTAAATCATTTTTCTTTCCTTGAAGTCAATAAAAACACTCCATAGTTCTATTGATTCGAATCCATTCGTGCTCAGCATTTCTCCGATAAAAACATTCAAGATGTTGAGATTTGTATATACTGAGCCAACTTTTGAGTAGTGGATCCGCAATCCTAGACTCCGATAAATCTTTTGTGCTTATCAGAAACATGCTTAGCACTGTTAAATTGTTAGGTCAAATAATCAGTACAACGAATGTTTTCGAAGATTTTGAAGAAAGAGAAATGACTCGGAAAAAAGACGGTAGGCTGACGAGGATCATCAGGTAGTATGCAAAAAGCTGGAAATGGGGCTTGTGCAACTTCCCGCTCTTACTCAATTATGTATGTAAAGGGTAGTAGGAACGCTTGCGGATAGACAGACGTCGAAAAATCATTTGCCCGGAGTTTCAGATTATGAAGCTATCTTTTGAGCTGCGTTCCCTCCTTAGAAGATGTTGATGTATGCGACCCTAAGTCACTGCGACCAATGCGCACGGCGAAGAATTGCCCGTCAGGAGCATTTCAGGAAAGAGGGAACCTATTGGTGAAGGTAGAGAGGTACTAACAGTGAGTATAACGGGTGGTCACTTCTAGAGATCACCATTTATGGCAGCCGTTGAACACGATAAACCCGCACGATAGGCGAGAGATTTGAGATAAGGCTAGCTAAGGGGAAGGAAACCCTAAAAAAGAGCAGCTAATGACGTTTAATTGAATCGAGATTTTCG